AACAAATCAAATAACAAATAAGCGAATTAAATCAAAGAAAAAGGGTCGAAAATAGTCTAATTTCCGAAAAAAATAGACTAAATTAGACTATTTCCGGCCTAAACGGCCAAGCAAATTAAAACCCTACTTATGTATTTATATAAACTAAAATAATTTTTACAAAAATTAAATTGGATTTGTTGAAATTAAATTATTTTTATTAAACTAAATTACTTTTAGGGATTAAAACTTATACTCCTTCTGTTTCATAATAATTACAACATTTTGACCGACACACATGCCAATGCACAACTTTGACCATTAATATTTGTAATTATATATTATTAAAAAGTATAAAAATTTAATAAAATGAAAATCTACTTAAAGACTAATCGAAAAATATTTTACGTGACAACATATGTTTTTCTAATACATTAGTAAAAGTAATATATATATATAGTTAAAGTAAGCATATAAATAGTGTAATAGTTAAAGTGTTGCAATTATTACGAAACAGGAGAAAGTAATCCCTCTTGTATGGAGTACCATTTGTCCATATAAATCCCTAAACTTTGACCTATAATTATTACACTAGCTATGCACCTCAGCACCTCATCCTACAAGTCCCTAAACTATCAAATTTATACTCCTATCATTTAAATAGCATATCAGCTTTATAAGGCCCCTAAACTTTGAATTTTAAATTTTAAAAAATATTGCCATGTCATATGTTTAGTACCTATGCAATGTTGACTACCGCCACCTAAGCCTATAAGTGCCTAAACTTTCATTTTGCATTTTATTAATTCCAATTCATTAGCTCGATCAAGGTCCCCTAACTTATTTTTAATTATTAAATTCAATGCCACATATGTATTAAGGTTCCTAAACTATGCTTAGTCAACTAATTCATATTGGAAAGCTGACTCATTGATGGTTAAGAGACCAATTTGCCTCATTTAAAACTTGAGGGAATTTAAGTGCATAAATACAATACTTTAGAGTCCGTATATAGTTTTTATACTCTTTACCCCATATTTGGGCAAATGATTTTTCATGCACATTGAAAAAATAACTAGAGCCTCTTTTTTTCTAATTAGATGGTTCTTTTTTTTTTCCCACCTAGAAATTTAAACATTCTTCTTTTCCAAATCACCATATAGATTTATAGATTCAATTCTACTGGTTATTTATAATTTTTCACTTAATAGCTAATAGGAGCTATTAATTTGACCCAGCGAGAATATATAGGGAATAATTTTCTTACCTATTCTCTCTACTCTTAAGCATTGATTTGTGTAATTGGGTTAACTGTCTAGTGTAGTTGTGCGAGGTACTGATTTAGAAGTATCATTTCTATTATTACAAAAAAAAAAAAAAAAAAAAAAAGTAATCTATTAACGTGACTTAAGGTTTTTCAAAAAAAAAAAAAAAACAAATTTAATGTGACTTTAAGGGATTTGAAAGATATATATATATGACTTTGCATCAGATACTTTTGAAGATTCAAAACAATGTATATATCTTTTAAGAACAAACTAATTTTTGACCCAAACAATGTCCTGCGTCATTATATGTATTGAAAATGAGCTTTTATAATAAAAATTAAGTGATGAAATATAAATTTAGGTCTCGTTTGGTTGATAAGAGAAATAAGTTCCCAAGGAAGTATTCGTGGGAAATTATTTCCCAAATGAAATTACTAAGAATTTCTTTAAGTTGTTTGGTTGTAACAATGGGAAATTGGAATTCCCATGAATTTTAATTGACAAAGGGGGCCTAGGTAATTTACTTCCTATGTTTTGTAGGAAGTAGAAATTCCCATGATTTCCAACTACTTCCCCCATTTTTACTTTTTTGTGTCAACCAAACAACTAATCCAAATACAAAATCCCATGAATTTTCACTTCCCCCATTTTATTTTGTCAACCAAACAAACCCATATAAATAATTAGTTACATTTATTTCAGTACTCGTACTATTTAAAATATTTTTTCCAATCATTATTGAACATCAAAATATATTATCCAATATTTAGTATCCTAAAATTATTAGTTTACTTCGTTTTTCAATTGTTATAGAAAAAATTAGCTTAAAATTCAATGTATATTTTGAATTACATATTTAAAATAGCCATATGTTTTATGTATGAGCAAATAAAAGAAATGAGATTAATTTTTGTCATTATAGATTGTTGTTAAATATACATGTATGAAATTAAACATTAATCTTTGAATTCATGAATATGATGATTAACTCTTTTTAACAAAACGTCGTAGAGATAAGATGTACCATTGATGTTGTGGTTGATGTTAAAGTATAATGAATATGAGGTCATGGATTCAAACATTAATACTAACAATTGTTAATTTTTGTTTAATGAATAATAGTAATCTTTAAGTATGACGTGATGCTACATCATCTGCATAGTAATGGTGACATATGACGGACTCATGTTTTTCCATTGAATTTTAATATATACTTGTTTATAGATGTTGTTATATGATTATTGATTAGTATATTAATGTGGTTTATTATGCATATTTTAAAATTATTAACCAATCCAAAAACATAAAATGGTTCAATTTTAGGCTAGAGTATATTAGTCTTAATAGATAAGCATATCACATTTTAACTCTATTTAAAAAAATAAATAAATAAATAAATAAATAAAAACTCTATTTTTCGTATTTTATTAAAGTTGGGCACGGGAAAAGTCATGTGGGGCCACATTGTGGCCTCGTGGTCCTATGGATTGTCTTGAAATAGGGGTGTTAAAAGATCAATCCAAATTGGAAAAATGAAATCGAGTTCCAACCAAAGAGATTCATTTCAGTTTTCGATTCGAGAAATGTAATAATCCGAGCTAAAGTCCGATCCGATTCAAAACTCCTTAAAAACAGGTCTTGAATAGACTAATTTTTTTTTATCAAAATTATGAATAAAACTTTTATCATAGTCAATATTTTCGTTTAGTATGCTAGATATATTTTTATATTATAAGCTATTTTATATTAGATGGTCGAATTAAGCATTGAACAATCAAATTCTTTACATTATTTTGTTACAAAAAGTTATAAAGTTTTTCTTAAAACATTGAAAAAACAAAATCTAAAACTGGTCTCCAATCCGAGTCTAGTCCAAGCAAAATTAGTTCGTATTAGAGGTGATAAAAAATTCGGGCCGAGCCTTAACATCGTAACTCATGTCCAAACCCGCCCAAAAGTGGCAGGCTTTTTAAGCCTAAGCGGGCTTGTCGGGCTTTATTTATGCTGGGTTTGGATTTTTAACTAAAAAAGTTTATTTAAGCTTGCCCAAACCGCCCATTTTTTGGGTCGAATTGGGCCGGGCTATAATTGATCACCTCTAGTTCTTTTCTAGCTCTTGAATTTTAATTTTCTTGTTAATAGTCCAGTCTAGTGTTGGACAACGCACAATCCTACCTTGAAATGAGTCAATGTCGAGGCAAGCCATGTTAAATTGCTAATCTTCCATCAATGAGGCCCATTCACGGTTCGACCCACGATTCATGTTGTGACGCCATCAGACCCTTTACTTAACCACGTTGATTGATGCATGATCTAACTTGATGTGTTGAATACAGGTGTCAATCTGGGTGTCCGGATCGTGTTCGATGAGGTAGGGTCAGGTTTTTTTTTAAACTTGAGTCATGCTAAATTATTGTGTCCACACGAGTTAAATTATGAATCGGATATTTTTCGAGTCGGTTTCGAATCGAGTCAGTTTGAGTGTGATTTTGACACATCTAGTGTTGGCGTAATGTTCGTGCCAACTTTTAATAATATAATAATGTCCATAATCCATCCACAACCCTTAGCCCACTAGCGTGCCTTTTGTCCTGAACCGTACTTAAAACACTCAATCGTTAATCGCTGGACTCGAGCCCAGCCAAATCTGGTTGGTCCCTCGTTGAGAAATGAACATTTACTATAACAAAAATGAACATTTTCTAATTGAACATATTTTACAATAATTCTGTATTTCTCAATAATCAAATGTTCATTTTCATGCAGTATGATACACATTCTTATAAAATAAATGTTCATTTTCATGCAATATGATGTTCATTCTTATAAAATAAATGTTTTTCTTTTTTAATTAATACAAATTTTTGTGTTTGTTCAGTTTATAAAATGTTCGTTTTTATAGTAAAGGATGTTCAACTAACATTAGCATTAATAATATTAGACATTAACATTTTGTTCATTATTAAAAAACATATTGTTGATTTATTTGATTGGTATTAAATCATATACTTCAGCGAATTGCAAGATATCCATTCAAGAGAATTGAACAAATCAAGGTATTTCACTTGAAGCTTAAAAAAATGTTGATGAATAAGCAATAACATTATATATGTTCATTTTTATTTATAATTGAAATGTTAAGTTATATAATATTACAGTAAATGTACAATTTATTTATTTATGTTTTTTCAGTTTCATAGTGTCTTTATTTTACTCTTATATTATAAATGTTCATTTTTATATATTGCAATATTCAGAAATAAATCTTCAATTGTTTTTCTAGTAAACGTTCTTTTGTTTTGCGTGAGATCAGACAGTTATGGCTAGCCGCAATTCCAGCTAAAAATTTGCGTAAAACACACTTGTTTTGTGTCAGGCCCATTGTGCGTTGGGCCCAAAAATCCAGCCATGCCCAACTTTAGTTGTTTTATTCCACTAATAAGTTTTTAAAAAAAATATTAGACCGTTAGAGCATTAACTTACTAAAACCTCGTTTTAGTCCTAAAACTATTAAAACGATGTGTTTAATCTCCTTTAATCCAAATTTAGAGGGTCCATTTACATAGCGCCAGAACACATTTCAAAATTTGAAAAAACTCAATCCAACGTCTCTCTCTCCGCTCCCCCTTCCCCAACTACGCTCCTCCCACTTTCTGCAAAACCCTAAATCAAAAAAATCAAACCTTCGAAATTTACTCACAAAATCCCTAACTCTGTACAAATTCTTCCCCATTTTCTCTCTCCTCTTCAACAATGGCGACTCGCAACCAAAATCGACCTCCCAAGAGTCCTTTCCATGTACTCCTCTCTCCATTTTCTCTCCTCATTTTCCGCCACTGAAGCTTCTTCTTCACTCCTTCTTCCTGTTGTAATTTATCTAATTCGTTGTGTTTTCACTTTGATTGCAGAAAAAGGATGGCGGAGAAGAAATTCCCTTTGATAAGCGTCGGCGAATCGGCGGAGGAACAAGGTTAGCGGGGCCCACTGCAGCGAGTAGGGCGCGGCAGGTGCTTTCCGCTGTCAATTCGAACAACCAAGATACTGCTAGTGATACGGCATCGGTTGCCGAGGGGTCGGAGCATGTTGAATTTACTAGGGAAGATGTGGAGGCGTTGTTGAATGAGAAAATTAAAGGAAAAAAGTTTGATCTCAAGGTATTTATTCAAAATAATTGAATGTTAGATGTTTTATCTTTGATTGATTTATGTGGTGTTGATAATTGGAGAGGTTTTTAGGTAAATTGATTGCTTGATTTTGAATTTTAGGGTAAATTGGAGCAAATTTCGGAATCGAATAAAAAGCTTAGGCTTTGTATAAAATGGTTTCAAGGAGTTGAGCAAAACCTCAATCAAGAGCAGGAAAGGCTGCGTAATTCATTAGATGAATCGGAGAAGAAATGCTCGGAAATTGGTAATTTCTTTAACCCTAATCATTTGTTGCTGTGTTATAGCTAATACTGTATTGGGAAATTTGCGAAGTACAGAAATTGAAAATTATTACTGGCCTTTATATCCGATCACTTTGACTTACTTGGTTTTATGTAAGCTGTGTTAGAATTCAATATTAAGGAGTGGGTCAATTACAAAACATAAAATTTTCTCTCTTAAGCTAGGGTTTTATCACTCTCAATAGTGTCAAACCTTTAGGTGTGCATTGGAATTATTAATTACCGAGACTAGTATTTCTTTAGGCTTAATTTATTAAGCGTCGATTTGTTATATCATACTGGAGATCAGTTTTTACTTCTTTGCTAGGGAAGGAGTAAGATTGATCATGTTGACATTATAGCATATCTAATTTTTATGTGTGGTATGATTGTAGAGATTGGGAGGAAGAACAAGGAGGATGAACTTAATGCGATTGTTGGAGAGTTGAGACATAATGTTGCAGCTTTGGAGGAGAAATTCGCAAAAGAAGAGTCAGATAAGCTGGTATGCTCACTTCAATTAATAATAAATTTGAAATTGTTGTCACTTTTTTTTTTTTAATCTTTAACCCTTTTAAAAATTTTCCACCATGGTATGTGTAGGATGCAATTGAACGTCATAGTCGAGAAAAGGAAGGGAGAGTTGCTGCAGAAGCTCTGAATGCTTCCCTTTCCCAGGAGCTCGAGAAAACCCGTCAAGAAAAAATGACTGCTGACCAAAAGGTATTGCAGCTGCATTGATTAGCCAAGTATTCCTGTCACTACATGTTTACAATGTACTTGTGCTTATGATGTTTATTTTAAACATTAAATCGTTTAGGTAGTATCAGTCAATGATATGTACAAGCGCTTGCAAGAGTACAATACAAGCTTACAGCAGTACAATAGCAGGCTGCAAACAGATCTTGCAACAGCTAATGCAACACTTCAAAGGGTGGAGAAGGAGAAGTCTACAATTGTAGAGAATTTGGGTACCTTGAGGGGACATTACGCCTCCTTGCAAGATCAATTAACAGCTTCAAGGGTAAGCTGCTTGATGAAAGCTGCTTCCTCAAGCAGCTTACTTAATGCTTTTCTTTTCAAATTATCTGATTTAACATGGAGCTGTCTTGTGTGGTGTGCCATTTCTTTTAATTTTGATGCATGCATTGCTTGCTGATATAAGTGATGTATGTTTCGAAATGCATCTTCAGTTATTGAGAAATTTATATATTATGTATCAGCATGTCTTATCGATGTCTTATATTCTTTTGACAAGGTATTGTTTTGGTTATCAAGGAAGACAATAATAAGGAAAGTTTAATAGTAGTAGTTTAGAGGGCTCTTGATGTATAGATTTCCTTGTACCTAAGCGGGAAAGGAGTGTAAAAATGGTGCCCCAAAGGTTAACTTTTTTACAGCTTCTACTGTCCTGTAAATATCAAGAACTCAGGATAATTTTATGTTCCCTTAAATAAAATTTTTATGATGAAGATGAATGAAACATGATACACAAAATGCAAAATCTTATGACATTCAATTGAAAATGTCAAGAGTATGTTTGCTACTGGCTATAAAAAGGTTTGATTTGTAATTGCCTTTGTTTCATTGCCTATCTCTAGGCTTCCCAGGATGAGGCTGTAAAGCAAAAGGAGACATTTATGAATGAAGCTAATCGTCTACGAGGCGAGTTGCAACAAGTCAGAGAAGATCGTGATCGGTTGCATTCACAAATGAAGTTCCTAACTGCTGATATCGAAAAGCTTAAAGAGAGTACAGGAAAATCTGTAGCTGAATTGGATAACATGATGATCAAGTCAAATGCCTTGGAGGTTTGTTACCTTGACTAATTTTTTTCTAGGCTTTCAGCCAAATTCTTTCTGAATAAGTAAATCTTGTCTGTACATCTTCTGATAGGAAACTTGTGCATCACAAAGGGAACAATTGCGTATACTTCAACATCAGCTTGCTTCTGCAAACGAGAAACTTAAGGTGGAAATTTAAGACTAAGTTTACACATGTGTATACTTCAACACTCACCATCTAGCCTATACATTGCGCATTTTTATTCATATCAAAGGTGTTCTTTGCAGATGGCCGATCTATCTGTTTCAGAAACAAAAACTGAATATGAAGAGCAGAAACAAGAGATATGTCAATTGAGAAAACGTTTGGCAGATGCTGACCTTCAAATTAATGAAAAGGAGATGTTGAGGAGGAAGCTGCACAACACTATTTTGGTAACTATTTACTGGGAATAGACGAGCTTTAAATGTTGATATTATTTTAGAGTATTTTAAACGGACGGATGGGAGAAGGAAAGTAGGAAAGATAAGGGACAATTAACATTGGCAATGTAAGGGAAGGAAAGTATGGGAAATCCTTACATGACTTACTCCAAGTAGTTAATAATTTGGTTAATATTTTCGTATTATGATGAAGACCTATTTTTCATTGGTGCCTCTTGATAATCATGTTTTTCCTTCACTTGAAATATCTTTGGGGGATGGACTTTATTCTCCCCCCTTGCATTTATATTGAAATTTCTAAACTTTTTTTTGCTGGTTTGTGATACAGGAATTAAAAGGAAACATTCGTGTCTTCTGCAGAGTGAGGCCTTTACTACCTGAGGATGGCTGTGCTTCAGATTTACCAGTTATTTCATATCCTGCCTCAGATGAAGGACATGAGCAAGGCATTGACCTTTCACAAAGTGGTAAGTTTTTAGGCGTTTCTTGATTTTATTATCCAGTCATGCCTAATTTCCTAGTAGTATATATTTCGTTATTGTAAATGATGAGTAAATAAAAATGAAACTTCACATTTTTAATTCACAGTATAACATTATGTCAGGTCAATGCGTTGTAAGTTGTAAGAGTTAGTTACCAATACCTTTCCCTCCTTTTTTTCAGGACAAAAGTATGCTTTCACTTTTGACAAAGTTTTTACTCACGAGGCCTCACAGAGTGATGTATTTTCGGAAATATCAGAGTTGGTGCAGAGTGCACTTGATGGATATAAGGTGACATGTTGCTTCAATTGGATTTCCAATTTAAAATAAAATGAGATCTGTTGAAAATTGTATTGTAAATTTTTTTGCCTCTTATATAAGGTAGCTTAGATCAGTCATTTGCAGACATTTTTATCACTTAACTTGAAGTTGACAAGTTTATAAGAATGAAAAGGTAGTCTGTGAACCTTATGACTTACCCTCTGATCCATGGCAGTTTCTCAAGTTCAGAATTCTCTTTGTTAGTATGATTGCTGTTGTCTGTGCTGCAGACCATGTAGGATTGTAGTATAGAAATGCAGAACATTCAACCATTGTGTTTTCATTGTTTAAGAGTGTGTTTATGTGGTGAGGATCTAGTATAATTTCATATTCTTTTCGAGATATCTGATTCCATTGGAATTCGTGTGTCATATATGGGCAGGTTTGTATATTTGCTTATGGTCAAACGGGTTCAGGCAAAACATATACCATGATGGGCAGGCCTCAGTCCATGGACCAGAAAGGGCTTATACCCCGCTCTTTGGAACAGATTTTTGAGACTAGCCAAAGGCTCTCTGCTCAGGGCTGGAAGTATAAAATGCAGGTAGGCTGGTTGACAATCAATTCCATGTATTATCTGAAAATACTTCTAATAGGTTGGGATATTTATTTATTCACACATGCAAAAAGACGTTTTTCTTAAAAGATGAAGTGTAGTAAGTTTAGTCATGAAGAAGTCTTTGTTGACTTGCTGTTTATTTCAGGCATCAGTACTGGAAATTTACAATGAAACAATCAGGGATCTCCTAGCACCTAACCGAACATGCTGGGATGCTACACGTACTGAAAATGGCGTTCCTGGAAAGCAGTATGCAATTAAGCATGACGCAAATGGGGAAACATACGTTTCTGATCTTACTATTGTTGATGTCTGCAGCTCAAAAGAGGTAGCTTCTCTGCTGCATCAAGCAGGTCAATGCCGGTAAGTGTTATTTTCTTTTACTTTCTCTGTGTACAAAAGTTTGTAGGACTGAAAATCAAATGTGGGAGGGCTAGTAATAGGTTCTGATTTCCCTAAAGCTTTCTTAGATAAGGTTGTAGAACTGAATGTATCAGTAATGATGATTTTCGAACTTGGTCAGTATTTTTAATAGGATTTAAGATATTGACTTCTTAATGAAGCTTAGAGATAGGTAGACAGTAATGGAAGAGAGGGAAAGGGAGGTAGAGGGGCTAATTGGTTTGGTTTACTCCCCCAATCTACATCTAATGCATATAAAGAAAAACAGATCTATCATTCGCCTTCTCTTCCTTTCTCTTTAATCTTCACATCAAACACATTTTAGGAAATTTTTTTGGCACTCTTTTCCAGTTTATCTTTATTGTGATTCTTCTTTCTGCCTTTTCATTTCATGCTTTCTGACTTCACTGTGCTATCTTCCAGGTCTGTTGGCAAGACACAAATGAATGAGCAATCATCAAGAAGTCACTTTGTCTTTACCCTGCGGATAACTGCAGTAAATGCGGTAGGCTTCTATTTTAAGCACTTGTATATTCTTCTAGCCCTAGTATAACATGTCTAACATGAGCGGTTGATTTATTCCAGACCACTGAAAAGCATGGTGTTTTGAATCTTATTGATCTTGCTGGAAGTGAGCGGCTCTCTAAAAGTGGCTCAACAGGAGATCAATTGAAAGAGACTCAGGTATATATCTGCTTAGGAATTTGTTTGGGTTTTTGGACTTGTTACTCCAGACCACTGAACTGAATCTGCTTCTTTTTCTATGATCAGGCCATAAACAAGAGCTTGTCCTGCCTGGCTGATGTTATATTTGCTTTGGCCAAGAAGGATAACCATGTCCCTTTTAGGAACTCAAAGCTTACATATCTTCTCCAGGTACAAATATGATACATTATCTTGGTGTTATTTCTAATATCATGGGACTTCTACTGCAAAAACCTGCAAATTGATTGTGAAATGCTTTTACAGTAATATATATTCAATACTTGCAATTTACTAATAATATTTGATAACATACTTTATGATATCCGGTTATCTGACATAATTCTGATTATATTTTTCTCATGAATATTTCCTGTCTTTTAATCTGCATACGTTCTACTTGCTTCTGGAATGGAGTTCTTAATTTCATGCAACTCAATTTCCATCAGTAACATGCTTTTATTGAAACTGGATAAATATTAATATATCCGTGTTATGTTATCAGCCATGCCTTAGTGGAGACTCCAAGACGTTGATGTTTGTCAATCTTTCTCCCGAACCATCATCGGTGAACGAGTCACTTTGCTCCCTCCGGTTTGCAGCCAGAGTCAATACTTGTCAGATAGGAGTTCCTCGCCGTCAGACAGCTATCAGATCGGCTGATTCTCGTTTAAGCATAGGCTGAGACGTGATTCCTTCTCTCTTTTTATCTCTTATAACATCTAATCTCACAACCACACCTCCCGTTGGTATATGGTACATGTATGAAATTTGTTCCTAGAGTTGTAATCTGTATTACATATATTTACATGATGGGCCTGCATTGGATTTGTATAAGCAGCTATAGGTTGCATTAATTGGTTTATTCTGATTTGTATTGTAATATATTGAATCTGAGGGCAAAGTTTCCTGCTTGCCTGACTGCCTATAATACCTGATTTAAATGGGTTTCTGCTGTGTCGATTTTATGTATCTATTTTCTTCACATAATAAATCATAATTTGATTTATGCAAATTCAAAATATTTTACAGTGTAGTCAACAGATTAGTTGAAGAGAGTTATTCAAATTACTGTAGGTTCATTGTAAGTTTGTAACTAGTATGAAAATGAACTCATGCATCTGTTCATTTATAAAAATAGCCTTGGGATCTTGATTTTGTGTAATTTTGGAAGCCTTCTTTATTTTTATTTTTATGTTTTTATATTGAAGACAATTTTGGAAGCCTTTTTAACCCTTTAGTCTTCAATATATTAGTCTCCTTATAATCTTTAACATTTATAAGAATGAAGGATAGAATTTCAAGTCTACTAATTCTTAGAAAATAATTGGTTAAGGAAATGCTTACAAAAATTTAATTGAATGCTACATGGTGGAAAATAGTCCATATGTCCCTTTGACATAACAAAAAGTAAAAAAATAAAAATAAAATTGTGTTTCCACGTTGAAAAAATTGAGCGTGTACAGGTTACTCAACTAAAAAGTGTGTTACTCAAATGACATTGTTGTAATTCTTTAATATTTTGGTTTTTCTTGCATAAACGTTTAGTCTTCTTTGTCCTTCCTCCTTCATATCTCATCAACAGTGATGACACATCAAACAACAAATCCAACACCATCACAAAACCTCAACCCCAACAACACCACTTCGACGGCAAAACAACAAAAACTCTAAGAAAAATATACAATTTAAGAGCATGGTTAACCCCAAAGGAAAGGTGTATATCATTAGCTTAATTGCTTGCGAGTTTTTTTATCCTCCATTGATTTCCTCTAGCTCCATTGTTGTAGAGTTGAAAATTTCATAGCAAAGCCTAATTGCCGTTTTCATGACTTTTACTAGATTTCACGATTTTACCTCCAACTAAAGTAGTGAAAAAACGAAAGTATCTTTTGAGTAACTTCTAATGTCACTCATATTGAGTAACTTGGATTTTCTCCAAAAAATAATAGATAATGAAAACATAATAAATACTATCGGAAAAAGAGATAGAAATTTAATTGAAAAAATAGATTATTAATTAAATTTTCTAAAAATTTAATAGTCGTAAAAATCACAAAATGCGTGATTATCACCCTCAAGTTTGAAACATGAGTTACCAAACACACGTCTTATTATTGTAGTCCACTATAGGAGCATAATATTATTTTCATTATAGACTTTATAGTCGCAAATAACTCAGTAAAATTTAAATCAATAAAATGTAATATGTTACCATGGAAAATATGCACACATTTTAACATCAAATATGCTGTGTATGCCACTTTACATCATGGAAAATTCAAAATAATTTCATTTTGGACAAGACAAGTTTATATCTATTCATTACTCTGTATTATTAAAATAGATTATGCTGACATTATTAAAGACATATGTCAACTTTTGTCAAAAAAAAAACTTTTTATGAAATTTTTTTGCTTAATTTATTTAAGACATCATCTTTTTCTTCCCAAGTTTGATTAGACATTTTTTTTAAATAAAGAACTAGTAAGTAGCCCACGTGTTGCCCAGGTTTCTAATGTTGTAAACGTGCAATCGATAAATTTTATCAAAGGATTTTCGAAACTAAAATTGTCATTGTCAAACCAATATTGAGTTATTCTTTGAGTATTTTGTTTTTTGTTTTTTGTTTTTTTTTTCTAAATTGAACCTTGTGGTTTGCATTTATATAATATGTTTTACATATTAATAACATACTTCGTAGTTGATAATTGGCTTACATGGTTAAATAGTCATCTTTGTTAACTTATAAAAGGTTGAGGGTTTGAATCTCCAAATGCTTTTTAATATATTAGTATAGATAATGACTACTTTTACCAACTATAAAAAATACTTCAATAATTAATTGGATCTTGCTAACAAGCGCCCCAAGGCGTTAAATAACTACTTAATATTAGGGGTGAGCATGGGTCGGGTACCCGTACCGTTAACACTAACGGTTCGGGTACCGATAACCAATATCGCTAAAAGTGATATCCATTACCGAATCGATAAGTTCGGGTACCTGGATTTTCGACTCGGTTATCCGGTACCCAATAAAATATCCAATAATGTTAATTAAACTTAATAATAATGTAGATATTATGATATCATTCAATACTAATTAACAACAATTCACATGATCTTGACCAAATTATTTATAATATTACTAATCATTCATATTATAAAGTGATTATGAAGTAAACTAAGAGTTTAGATTTTTGGATAAATAAATTTAAGTAGGAAAAAAAAAACAAAAAATTGCTTATTGGATTGGATTGGATAACCATTAATTTTAAAATGATACCCAATAACCATACCTGATAACAAGTTATCGGATCGGGTACCCGAACCGTTATGGTTATCAGACCGAGTACCCTAATTTTCGGATCGTTTACGGATCGATTTTTCGGATAGTTTTGCTCAGCTTTACTTAATATATTACTTAAAAATCACGTGTCAATCGGTATAATTAACATTTAGTTCTCTTATCTAACTCCCTAATTAACATTTAGTTCTCTAATCTAACGTTCCGAGGGCGCCTGTTAAGTTATTTAATTTTTTTTGAGAGAATTTTTTTTTTTAATTTCTTTTTTTGTGAGGGAAAAAATAATTATGATGTGGTGGTAATTTAGGTGGTTCTAGAATTACATGTCAAAGCCCATAATATTGTAGTGGCCCCAAGAATCACTAACATCCTTTATAATTGCATTAAATTAAATATATTAATTAAATCAATATCAATAATCTTATATGATTCGCCTAATTTACCCAAAAACTACACAAAATATCAAACGAGATACTATTTGTTTTTTGTAATTAAAATTAAACGGTGGGCCCACCTCAAGTTGATTCATGGCAGTCTCTTATCTAGGTATATAGTTCGTTCACATCCACTTTGTTGGACTTCTTATTCGAATATTTTTCAGGTGTCGTCAAATTTTATTTAAATCGATTTTATAGAAAAAAAAAAAAAACACTCATCAAAACTCATAAACATTACAAAAGTGAAGGAGATGGAGAGCAGCAGATCAAAGGTTTCAACTGTGGAATCTAAGGATCAATGGGACGATCTTGTCAACAAAGCCAAGGAACAGGGTACCCCTGTAAGTTCATTTCTAATACTCGTTTTCGTCCGAATTTAGTTTTCACTTTATTCGTTCAAATTACGCTGTCAATGTTGAAAATTGATTCTGTAATATGTATTGAGGAAATATATGTTGTGGTTTTGGTTGTGATTCTGTTATTTTATACGAATAATTTCAAAAGATCTAATCTTGGCTATCTTGCATAATTTTTTTTGATCAACATGGCTTAGTGGGGTCATGACTTAGTTTGGGGCTTTATCATATTTTTGCATGGTATTTTTGAGAAATTTTTTGTATTCAATTCTATTTATTGAATTTCTTGACCACTAAGCAAAGGAAAAAAAAAAAGCTATGAAAATTAATGGGTTCAATTTTTAATTTTTTGTTCTTTATTTTTTTTGGGTGGGGGTGATGGGAGGAGGAAGGGATTCATATTTCATACCTTTTTAGGGAGCGGGGAAAAATGAGGGGTGTTTTGGGAGATTCAAAAGAAAACATTTTTTATATTGGTAATGAAACAGTAAAATTTTCGTCTTTTTTCACTTGCCTCATGTTTTTTTTTTTTTGAAAATCTTGAAAAAAAAAAAGGCCAAATGAGGCCAATAAAGAGGGACTGAGGGAGTATGACTGTGTCATTTGTTGGGAAGAGTTGGATACTTGTAGTGCTGTTAATTTTGGTGAAATTTATTTATATCATGTTATAATGGCAAATTTTATTTTACAGATTGTGGCTCACTTTGGAGCTACATGGTGTGTCACATCATTTGTTATGAATCCATTCTTTGAAGAATTGGCCTCAGAATATGCTGATGTTATGTTTGTCAACGTTGATGTTGATGAAGTCAAGGTAGCATATTTCCCCTTTGAAATGGCTTGGTTTTGTTGAATTGGCCTTATGCAAATACATTTTCAGATTTCAAATTTCATAGTAGTGTATGATGAATATGTTATTGGATTGTGTTTTGATTCTGTCTATCAATTACTGTGTACTCTTATTTTGTTATTGTGTATATGTCATATGTGTGTAACGAGTAATTTGGTTCGATTTGGGTCAAATGGTGACAATCAGATCTATTGTCTGTTAGTTTATCAAGAAAGAATCAATTGATGTTACATGCAGTAAGTTCCTATTGAGTTAGTTTAGTACAATTCCAGTCGGGTTTGTGTTATTTGTATTTTGTAGTTAAGAGTTCGAGTCAATTTACAAGGCGGTCCAGATTGCTACTGGTTAGCAAAGGTGAAATTTTCCAATAATGAAAGTAGTGTCCTGTGTTGTTAAATGGAAGTGGCTGGCTGACGGCTTCCAAATCCGATTCCTATGTCATGTTAAGCACTACTATGTTTGCTTCTCTATAGCATCACCGTACATAAGAGTTGCCCTTTTTCCTTTGCTTAGTCAAGATTTTGAATTATGCTTATCTAGAGTATCTGATATGTTGATATGATTTTTATGTTTAATGTGCTATAGTATGATAAAATCTCGGGTCTATTTCAGAATATTACTACTTTCATACTGGTTGACATTTTGAAGTTCTGTACTTAGCTTGTTTGTACTTGTGGCTTTTGGTGTATAGGAAGTTGCTTCAATGATGGGAGTGAAAGCTATGCCAACATTTCTTGTGCTGAAGGATGGCATCGTAGCTGACAAGATGGTTGGAGCGAACAAAGATGAGTTAAGGAAAAGGGTCGAAAAGTTTACTCAGCCCACTGGAGCTAATATGGCCTAGTCTTGTGTTTCATGTTGTGCATACTGCTACCTTGCTCATTTCCTTAAAGCAGTGTGCTGTCAAATAGGAAATTTACAGCTTTATGCCAATGCTTTCTGATGTATGAATGTATTCCGTTTCTGGTGTGGTACTGATTGTCAAGTGAAAACATATACATGAAAGTATGTGTATAAAAGGTTAATTGCAAATTATTTCATGTATTTTATGCTATGCCTGATGACATCTTTAGACATTCTTACTGTAACATAATTGACCGCTTCTCTCTGTTCAGTTTTTGATTATTGAATATCTTGGCATGATTCATAATATTTGAATTGAAGATTTGCCTGTCAAGCTTGAAGATTTGAAGTGTCTTCTGCAGTCATTGAGGCAGGATATAATTGTCATATTTTGCTTCACTAGAGAGTAAATAGTATCATAAGAACAGAAGCGCATCAATTCATCGCTGACTCACTGTGTGTAGTACAAACGACTTCAGTCACTGCAGTAGCAGCAGTTCTGATATTTAACTAGTCTCTTGCAGTTCTATTCCAAGGTCTGACTTTTAAGGTCAATCTCCATGCTAATCCTTGAATCTTCAATCACTCAACAAGGAGTATGAGATGCTCTCAAATCTCGAACATCTGCTGTTGGAACAACATTGGTGGAAAATGAGAGTTTTACTCTCTTTATAATATAGAGAGTGGGCTAAAGGGGTGTGGCCCTTGGGCTACCCACATTTTGTGGAGAGGGAGGACCTATATGGTAAACCATATATCACACACACGCGCGCCGAGCCGAGCCGGGCTGGGCTGGGCTGGGTCGGGTTTGGGTTATTAAACAAACTTAATTTTTGTTACCGGTTTGATTAATATTCAGTTACAAAACGTTTTACTGTTTTGGTTTAAATTTTTCCGTTACATTGCTTGATTCTCGTTGCTGTTTTACTGCTAAACGTTGCACCGTTACACTGATTTAATGCCTTGATTCTTGCTTAACGAATACACTAATTGCAGTAAACGTTGCTAATCTTTCTCCCGTTTTCATGCTTAAGCTGTTACGTATCTTTACCTATAAAAGGACGGTTCCAACTTTGTTTTTAAAAAATACGGAAAAAAATACAGAAAATCAATTTGCAAAATATATTTTCTCTTCCTCTCAAAACAGTCGAGCAGTTTCTTTCTGATTTTCTGGTGTTCCGTTGTCCGGTGGTTTGGTGCAAAACCGCGGTATTTTATACTTGTGAAAGACTGTTTTATCTTGGGGGCATCCGGTTTGGTACGAGCTGCTTGCACAAGTTTGAGGCAGTGCCGCGAATGTTCTAAAGAGAGCGACATAGTCCGCGACTCAGTCTTATTCTCGGTAACATTGTTCTTACTATTTTATTTGTGCAATTCCATTTATAACATCTGCACTGCAAGATGCAATGTGCATCATCATCGCTGAGTCACTGAGTGCAGTACGAAGGCTTATACAAACCTGCATTATGACTTCAGTCCCTGCATTAGCAGCTGTTCTGATATCAAACTAGCCTCTTGCAATTCTATTCTGAGATTTGAATTTTGAGGTCAATCTCCATGCTAATCCTTGAATCTTCGATCACTCAACAAAAAGTATGCTACTCACTCTCAAGTCTCAACATCTGCACTATGCATGCTTAATACCAGTAGCATACCAAAGTGAAGTGTTCGTTTCCAAAAATCAGAGTTTTGAAGATGGTTGCTCATCATGAAGCTAAAGTTTCGAGGCACATTGTCGGAGATTGGAAGTCATTTTATGGATGTGGGAAAGGCAGTCATCTTAAGCAGTCTTTACAAAAGAAAGTGTTAGTCCAACCAATATATAAATATATAATCAGCATTCAATTCAGCAACAAAGTTCTTTTGATTTCTAAAATCATCCTCCTTTTCACAGGAGTATTTGCTAGTTTTGCTGGGATTAACCTGTACATGTGTAGAATGGCAACATATGAACACACCATGAATTTGACATGAATGAAGCAGTTGATTATAACTTCAATCTTTTTAAATTGGGTAAACCTAGGGATGTGAGTGAGGCGGGTCAAATAGGAGACCCGTCCGAATTTGACATGAATGAAGCAATTGATTATAATTTCGATCTTTTTAAATTGGGTAAACCTAGGGATGTCAGTGAGGCAGGTCAAATAGGAGACCCGCCCCTTCCTCGCCCTAACGGGGCGGGGATGGGTCTTAGCTTGGCTGGTGATGGGGCGGGGATGGGGATAAAAACCATACCCGCCATGGGTGATGGGGAGGGAGTGGATTTTAGGTTGTACCCGCCCCATCCCTGCCCCACCCCACCTGCCCCACTTCATACGCTCCCCATCCCCACATCCATATATTTTTAAAAACAAAATTATATACTTTTATACTATTTTATAAAAAAATTTATGTAAAATAAAAAAGTAAATATAATACTTTGTAATACACTTATATTATAAACAAAAAAAATGTGTAATATTAACAATAATTTTTTCTTTTTGCAATGTTTATTAATTATGAAGGATTGTGTATTTGGGAGGCGGGGATTAGCCGGGTCTTAGTTGGGGATTAGGTGGGGGTGGATATCCAAGTGGGGGTGGGACGGGGATGATATTGGAGCTGTACCCGCCAGGGTGGAGAGGAGGATGGATTTTAGACCCGCTGCGGGGATGGGGATGAGGATGAAAATTTTAGGTGGGAATGGGGATGGGAAGGCCAACATCAGCCCCGCCCCACCCCGCCCCATTGATATCCCTAGGTAAACCAATGTTTATGCATAAAATAAAGCTAAATACATTATTTTTTACAATCCTCAATTTCTTTCTTGTTTAACACGAACATGAATTAGATCTAACATGATTTAATGTCGGTTTAGAAAAGTGTACACCTCCTACTATGAAAGATTAACACCTTAAATTATTCTCTAAACATAAAAGTTAAAACAATAGGTCTTTATTGAAGTTCATTATAATAGTTGACGAATTTCAACAATTAAAGTTAAACATGGGCAATCATATTGGTAGGTCAATATTAAGAATTCAAATACTCAGTAGTACTTTCTTTTGTAAAATGTACTCATATACAAGTATATGAAAAAAAAACCCCAAGATACGAGTATGCTTTGGTTATTAGCTCATCTACTCATAAAAACAAGATTAAAGTCATTTAACAATTGATCACGTTAACCATGTTTAATTTTTGTGACTCTCTCGACATTCCCCCCAAAAAAAAAAAAAAACAGTAGTGGGCTTGTTGGGCCTCAATATTAGTGGGCTTGTTGGGCCTCAATATTAGTGGGCTTTTACATTAAATTACCCAAAAGCTTACTCTCTCATCTTCTCCCACTCAACCGCTCTCTTTTCCACTGTCGGTGACTGACAACGGCGGCCGTAACGTCAGCCGGCGATACGCCGGAAATTCAAATTTCTGGAAAAACTAAATCAAAACGTGAAATTGATGCGCCAATTGTGTAAAAATTTATCACATTTTGTTCTGATATTGGTAAATTGAGGTGCGATTTTATTGATTCTGGTTTGTTTTCGATTTCTAGGGTTTATTTTCGTAACAATTTGTGATATTAGGGGGAGATTTTGACGATGATGAGAGAGAATCAGTGGTTAACATCAATGGCGGAATCAAACGGAATCGTAATTATTGTAGTGACTGTTTTGACATTGATTCTAGTTCGATTGATGTATGTTCTCCATCGATGCGGCAAATCATTACGACCTACTACTGTGAAACCTCTTAGTACTCTCATTGTTCTCGGTTCAGGTTAGCTTATTGATCTAAATTTGTTAAAATTGCTATTTTTATAAAATCTCTTTTCGTAGTTTATCAGAAATTTCGCTTTTATGTGCATTTTTTATATTTTTCTTGTAATTTTGATTCATATTGTATGGTTAGCTGATGATGGTATAATGGGTTCAAATCAATTTGGCAAAATTTGGATTTTTATTCTTAGAAATTGAGGCATAAGACATAATTTTTGTTTAAAATTATTGTGATTGATTTGTATTATTTTTTAAACCTGATTATATGCATGTATGTCTGTTGTTATGCTTGAAGGTGGTCACACTGCTGAGATGATTAATCTTTTGTTGGCATTACAAAAGGACAGGTTTTTGCCTAGATATTACATAGCTGCTGCTACTGATAATATGAGTCTGCAAAAAGCTCAAACATTCGAAAGCTCCTCGGATAATGAGGTAATTACATTTCTTCTGCCACTTTTTCCTGTTTTCTGCAGCTTACTTTTGTGTTACACTTTCCATCAGAAGATCTCATTCATGAACTCTTATTACTGTAGTATACCTGATGTTGTAAGTAGCACTCACATAAGTCCAACGCCACCATTTATGGCCATTTCATATATTCATGTATGTCGTTATATAATATGTTGCTGGCTTCTTCTGTGATTAGTGTACTAGAACAGAGATGGAATTAGACATCAGGATAGACTTATTAATTGGGGTTTTAACTAAACATATTTTTGATTTTTTGAAAAGTTTCTTCTTTCGTTGCAAACAGGTCCGGTGGCTGAATTGCAAACTCAGCATTCTGTATTTTCCTGTTCTCTGTGCCACTGTGGGTGTTGGGACTTGGGGCTAGATTTGGGCTTAATTCTCCTTTTTCTAATGTTAAGCATTAAGAAAATTGAAACCCTTGACACCTCCTAGGGTCTATTCCTTTCTGTCACTTGGCTTTGTGATTATTGAGTGATTTGAAATCAGAGTTAGTTTAAAATCTTTGTTTAAGGTTATGTAATTTACATTGGTTATTGGAGAAAGTTGGAATGCAAAATTGAGACTGTTTGCTTAGTAAGAGGTTACAAAATTCTCAAGCATGAGTACATCTCATTCACATTCATTTTCATAGATTGGTTATCCAAGGATACTTTTAGACCATCACCATGTGGGAACTGGAATAGTGCAGGTTACCTCTCTTTCAATCCTTGCTATTAAGTACATTGGAGAATAGTGTATGAGAATAGTAACTTTGATGGTTTTATTGATGTAGAAAGATAAAGAACTGCTCAGTACTTATAATTTCTAAGAGTTTTCATGGGATTTGGGTTAACTTACTTGCTTAAGCACCGGAAGGAATACCTTAGGCTTAAGCTACGAAGGAATAAGGTGAATGCATAAGCTCATATAAATTTTTAGGAGTAAGCCAACAAGATTTTACTTTGGAGAGTGCTTTATGAGTGAGCTTTTATTTTATTAGTAATGTGTTTATCAACTTGCAGCTGCTACACTGTGAAACTTGAAGTATGACTGTTAGCCATGATATATACATAGGAAAATACTTTATGAGCGAGGTTTTATTGTAGTAGTAGTGTGCTTATCAGCATGTGGTTCCTGCACTGTGATCGCAGAGGTATGATTGTTTCGGATGTGATCTCTTTGTTTCTGTCTTTCTGAGTGCTAGATTTTGAACATTTGGATTTTTGTTACTCCTTTTCGGATGTAATCCTCTGTTTCTGAGTGGTTGAATTTTGAACATTTGAATTTTGTTTCTCTGTATTTGTAGTTGAGTCAGATATGGCGGCGGGTATGAACGTACTGATGTAGCCAATATCGTGTGTTTTTTTTTTTTTTTTTTTTTTTTTTTTTGTGTGGAAAGCCATATTATTCTTGATTGAGGTTTGTTAATTGTTAGTCCATATTAGCCGTTATGTATTCTATGGTCTTCAGATTTTATTTTGCCCTCTATAGAGTTTATGATTTGTGAATTATGAAATTATAATCCGTACTACGTATGAGTTTATGGGGCTAACATGTAGATTTTGTGGTGAGGAGTGTACTTGTACATGTTATTTTTCTCTGCCTTGATGTGCTTTGTTGGAAACAATGTGTTTGATTTGGATCTGGTGGAAGAAGTTATGTTGTATACTGCTTACTGCCGTATGAAAGTTTTACTTAAGGGTATGCATCACTTTTCTCAAATTTTCCTTATATAAACTGTACATAACTTGCTTTATGATTAGCACATTATTGTTCTCTTAGACTTGGTTGTTTGCCAGTTTAAAAAAAGAGACTTGGTGGTCTGACCTGCTGCTCTCTTTGAGACCTTGAGATGATCTACCAATCGACCGCATACTTGTATCAAATTATGAAGATTTATCACCCGTCTACATGACTAATAATTGTTGTTTTTAACGTAGGTTAGCATAGTGAAATAACAGATTTTTGGAGCCTAGTCCCTAGGCATAGACAAGACACAAAAGACACCTAACTAGATAAAGTGCAACGGACTAGCGCCTCTCACTCACAAAGATACAGATAATGTAGGAAGAAGAAGGATTTTTTGATTGATAGTAGCTAAAAGCTTGCGTAATACGTCTAATGGCTTTAGGTCATCACTCTCCAAGTTCTCAATACAATAATTTTCTGGACAACCTTCTCTACTCTAGACTTCCTCTATTTATACTACTACTACATTACAAGGGTTGGCAAGAAGCCTTAATTGCTACATTTACTACTCTTGTCTTCTTCCTAAGTTACCCACAGTATAAAGCCAATAAGCCAAGGCTGCTTGTCTGCAACTCCTAAGGGACCGTTGGTTGGTCTTGTAGTGGATGCGGTTTGCGGCTCTTGTCCTGCTGCTTTTGTCTCCTGCCGTAAGTCAAGATGGTTGGTGGTGGTAGTGGGTTCATTGCATAAAGTATTAAAATAAGGCATAACTCACATGAAGGTTGTATGTTGTATGGCTAAACAATTACTAATATGAGTTACATACTCACTGAATCTTCACAATAGCTTCTTAAAACCACCTGCTACAAAACAGAACAAAAGCATTTGTAAAGATTTATTTTTTCTTTTTCTTTTTCTTTAAAAGCTACAAGTGACTCTAACCTAATGTGATTTCTGGAGGTGCACTTTGATCTCTGGAAGGGCCTTGTCTATATTTCTTGCATCACACCTCAGTGCTTCAAGCATGCTCTTTACTTACACTGTCTAAGGCAAACTTTCTATCCTGTATGGATGTAGTTGCTTCTATATGATCTTTGCAACTGCCCTTTTATTTGAAGGAGACTCTTGCCTGATTCTGAATATATTGCAGAATGGGATGAATGCAGCACAATACATGCAGATATATAGAAGTCGAGAAGTTGGTCAGTCATATATAACTTCTGTTGGGACAACCCTTATTGCCATTGCTCATGCACTGTGGTTAATGATTAAAATCAGACCTCAAGTGGTATATATCTATTCAACCCTCAACTTTTTTGCCAATTATAAACTGTGTTGTTTATTGATAGTTGGTATATTGTTTTAATGTTTTCTGCTAGATTCTCTGTAATGGACCTGGAACTTGTATACCTTTATGTGCAGTTGCCTTTATGTTTAAGGTGAGCACTTTACTGGACCTGTATCAAAATTGTGACTAATACGGCATCATGTCATTTTAATTAGTTTGAGATTTATCATTTAGATTCTATTCGCTACTGCAGATACTAGGGATAAGATGGTCTTCAATATTCTATGTGGAGAGTATTGCAAGAGTAAAAAGACTCTCTTTGAGTGGCTTGTTGCTTTACAAACTAAGAATGGCTGATCAACTATATGTGCAATGGCCTCAACTGCAAAGAAAGTATCCTCGATCTATCTGTGTTGGTTGTCTCATGTAGATGGTTGCTGCAAGTTCACTTGTGTAGATTCTGCTATACATGCCCTGCTTAGGTTATAAACTTCGTTTTGCAACACAACCTAATCTTTCGAGATTTTGACTAATGTATTCTTACTGAGTTCTGACTTGAGGGATTTATGCATTCCTGAATCCTGATTGCTTCTGGTGTTCTTTGATACATCCAGCATTTTAAGTTAACATGTGAATGTACCAGACAATCTTCTCATAAGTCATACTCATTGTTCTTGAAAGTTGTAATATACTGTACTTCACATTTCTTTCTGAATTATACCTGTACAGTGTTGTATCAGTGACTTGCTCTCCAATCTTCTGTTATTTATCTGATGTAATTGAACAAGTCAAATTTTGAAAATTTCCTGGACTAAATTATACTGGTTGAGATGGGTTTAAATGAAATGTTTCATTTATTCATCTCCCCCCTTTTTATTTTAATATAGAGTAAGGGGCCTAAGGGCTCTACTCGATTTGTACATCCTTTGTCCTGAATCCTCCTGATTACTTGCAATTATCTAGACATAGTCCACTTTACCTTTGTATATGACAGTAATGTGAAACAAAGAAATGCCATTGTGCATGGACTCCAAAGTTCACTCGCATATGGTGTGTCATCTGTCCTGGCTCCTTACTGAGGCCTATTAGTCTGTTATGGTGATTAGGTTGCTTTGGATGTCATCTCTGCTGACTATCTTTCTCGACCCCTTGCAGAGGCTTCTTAGTCTGTTATGGTGATTAGATGTCATTTTATGTTAGCAGTTACCAACTCTTGATGCTGACTTTGACATCCCACATAATGTATTCTATGGAAGCTTTAGGCCTCCACACTCCCAATAGAGATGCAACTCTCAGGGATCATTGAATGAACTGATAACAGGCCACTCAACTAATATCTGAGCAGATCATTTCTTTTATTCTGTTTACTTTTCTAGACAGTTACCAAATTTGGAATATAGAATCTAATTTATGTTGATATAAAATATAATGTGCTGCAATTGTGCCATATCTGAAAGTTTATGCCATACCTGCCTACCTGGTTGGTCATTCTGACTGCGTTGTAGATTCCACATAAACAGATAAACCTTTGCCTTCTAAAAAAGTCTCTAACACACGCCTCTCTTTTTAAAAAATTCTTTTGTTGATTGATAATAGTTTATTCTTTCCCCTTTCTCCATATAGCCCCAGTGCCCCAAAAAAAGAACAAATTCTTCGATTTCCCATGCATCAATGTATTGACTAGAGTTGTACATTTCTTTATTTGCTCTCAAAACTTGTATACTACATACTAATAAAGAAAAAAAAGAATATTTTTCTGCAATAATACGCCGGAAAGCTGTAGTGAGATTCTGGTGTTTCCCAGTCAGAGTAAGGTTAAAGAATGGAGTCTCTTGAAGAGGACTTTGATCTCAACTGGGTTTGCTGTCTTCTTGATGATATATCAAGCAACTGTTGTGACTCTTCTGTCATGCAGCCTGATGTTCCTTTGCCTATTCCTCGTTATGATTCTTATTCCAGCTCCACCTTCCATAGGTTTGTTCACTTTATTTATCTAATTACCGTTGCTGTTCAAGTTTTTTGTATATCCGCTGATCAGAGAAATTGTCTGTTTGGATCACAATAATTTTTGTTTTAGTAGATATTAGCATGTTAACTTTGATAAATTGCTCTTTTATTCATCATATCAATCTGTTTGGTCCTTGGATGTACTTATTTTAGGCAATAGTTTTGTATTAGTATAAAGATCTTGTTGTTCTGTTCTTCTGCACCATTGAGCTGTTCCTCTTGGGCTATTCTTTGAATCAAATCTAGTTTTGCTAAAGCAAGAATACTTTGTGGAAATGAGTTAGTTCACACGAAGTCTGATTCAATTAAGGTATCTTAGGGATTATTTTTGTTGATCATATACAATATGTTTGAGTTTGCTTTCTTTTTGTCCATGCAGTGCGGCCACTCAAGATTATAGTGAGGGTTTGTATGGTTTTGATGACTGCTGCCGGAAAAGGTACTTGTTAAAAATTGTAACTTTCATCTATTAATATTCAATTCTTCTAACAATTCTTCGCCATTCAACTTCAGGGTCTGTGTGGGATCAGTCACTGCATCCAGCAGCTCCAAAGCATGCCGTGAGAAACAAAGAAGGGATCATCTAAATGAAAGGCATGTACAGTTTTAATATTTGAGGGATTTTGATCTCATTTTGCCTTATTATTTTCTCAATGTACTTATTACCATTTTGTTGGTAGGTTCCTTGAGTTAAGTGAAACATTGAGGTCTGGAACAACACCCAAGTTTGACAAAGCCGCTATACTAACTGATGCTATTCGGCAAGTAAAGCTGTTACGTGAAGAAACATGTAACTTAACCAGCCAAAATGGCAAATTAAAAGAAAAGATTAATGAATTGAAGGTTCTGACTCTTTTATATTTGCTTTGATCTGTAAGCTTTGAACAAATTAAGGATTATACATCAACCTGCTAGCCAATAATCTCACAAATCAGCCCTAATACCAAATAATACTTCGTATATTATTTGATTCCTTAATCTCTTACTGGTAGTTCTCTTTATCAAGGATGGTGGTGTCTAAACTATCTGCACTTTGTACTAATGCAGGCAAAGAAGAAAGCCCTTCGCGCTGAAAAGCATAGGTTAGTGTCAGAGAAAGAGAAGTTAGAGCAGAGAATTAACTTTGTAGGTTCTTCTCCTAGCTTACATTTCCATCCTACTTCAGTTCCAACTTCATACGCTATCCCCTGTCAAGCAGTTGGTGGCAAACTGATGCCCCTGGTTAATTACTCCGGTGTTCCCTTTTGGCAATTTGTGCCTCAAGCTGCATTTGATACCTCACAAGATCATGTCTTTCACCCTCCCGTCGCTTAAGCTGGAGCTATTATCCCTTCCTCGCAGATCTCCCATGGGCCTTGAAGTTAATGGTTAAGTCTCCTTATTGTAAGATGCTCTGTTTCAGGATGAAGGGATGAATTAACAATGGATGATTGGCTGTTATTGGAGTTATTGTTAATTCTGCTTAACTAATAAACTAATTCAGTATTGCATTGATTTATGTTCTCTCTCTCTCTCTTTTACAATCAATTCTTAATGCTCCAGTCATCTACACATCTACACATAATTTTCTAAAACCTTACACATTAGTGCCACACATTTCTTCCTATGGTAAAACCTTTTTTTAACATATAGTTTTATCCCCAATTTAATTTAAGCATCTGTGGATGATATTTACTTCATATTCCTATGACTTGATGATATCTTTAACCATAATATCTTAATGTTCGTCCCTTTCTCTTAATTCTTCAATTTTCTCATATAATACAAGTACTTCGTATCATTTATGTATATGTTTTTTTTCTCAGTTTCACTTTTATTAACCTGTGTGTTACATGACCTAAAAGACTGGAGTAGTTTCTAACTACGACAAGTTTGCAACTGGAAAACACCTGATTCCACCTTTTATCCTATCTTTCAAAAATTGTCACTAATAACAAACTTACAACCGATTATAATTTAGTACATATAATCACCTATATCTCTCATCAGATATGAATTTATAGAATGAATTGGTAGGAGCGATAAAATTTGGTTGTTAAAGATGTTCAACAACGGAGCAAGTGTCTCTCCAATAGATAAGAAGAGTTCTGATCATAGTTAGGTTCACTTTCTAGATTACCAAATCCATGTCTCCATGGTGTGTTACGATCTTGGTCATCGTCTATAGTTGAAGACGACGTCGAGGCAGTTGAAGGTGGGAAATCCGTGGAGTTGCTGCTAAGCATGACGACAACTGAAGCCATTGTAGGTCTGCTTGGAGCATCTTCTTCGACACAGTGCAACCCTACTTGTATGCATCTCATTACGTCGTTTCTTGAGTAGTTTGTGCCTAGTTCTGGATCAACTATTTCCATTACAGCTCCTGTGCTCCAAAGTCGCCGTGCCTGAAATAATTCAGTGAATCTATGTGATTATAATTCTTAATTGCAACGAAAAAGGACGACTATGCAAGACAGCAAGAATTAGTATATATCTTACGCGACTTAGAAGGCTGTCTCCTCCAAGATGTTGGTTAAATAAGTTGCTTTGTCCGCTTATAATCTCCAAAAGTATCACCCCAAAGCTATAGACATCACACCTGACTGATAGCACGCCGGACATTGCATACTCTGGTGCAATGTATCCACTGCAAGACATAATTCGTCAACATTGATTAATTCTAAATCAATGTACGTAAGGATAACAAATTCTCGATACTTCCCCTTAGGTGGGAGCGTGAAGATCATAACCCATTTGTACATAAACAGCAGCAACATATCTGCCAAGACGGATGGGGCTAAAGTCTGATCCTCAACACTCCGGCAAGAGGGACATATTAAGAAGTCTTTCGAAGATCATGGACTTACTAGGTTCCGACAACTTTGATGGTACTGGCGTGTGTTTGGTCTAATTTGATTAATCTTGCCATGCCAAAGTCCGCTATCTTAGGATTCATCTCCTCATCTAGCAAGACATTGCTTGCTTTAAGATCTCGGTGTATGATCTTGAGACGCGAGTCTTCGTGAAGGTACAAAATTCCTCGTGCAATTCCCATTATGATCTTGAATCGTGTATCCCAATCCAAATATTTGCGCCTAGTTTGATCTGTAAGATGCTCAGAAGATCACAAAAACTTTAAGCTATTGGGGATTTTTTTTTTATTATATAGCTTCCAATTTTGCATCATATCATATATTCTTACACTTAGAAAATTTAAACAAACATAAAGTAATTAAGATTTCCCAAAATATGTTACACTTCATATCAACCAAACCAACACTCAAAGTTTCATGTGTAAAGAAGACATACCAAACAGGAATTTTTCAAGACTGGTGTTGGACATAAACTCGTAAACTAGCAAACTTTCGTCGCTTTCTAAGCAAAATCCCAACAATCTAACCAGATTTCTGTGTTGAAGCTTTGCTAATAAGTGGACTTCATTAGTAAATTCGTCATGACCTTGTCCAGATTTTTTATCCTTAGAAAGCCTCTTAACAGCCACTTGTTGTCCATTTGAAAGCTCGCCCTATACTTGAGAAGCTAATATGAAGTACTTCGTATATAATAATAACCATCCAAACCCTCACTTAGAGTGGTTAGTTTAATTTGTTCGTGTTAGTTTTCAAAATGAAACGAGGGAATCATACCTTATAAACAGAACCAAATCCTCCTTCACCAAGTTTATTAGCATCGGAAAAGTTACATGTTGCTTGTTTTATTGTTTCTAAACTGAATTGTAAGGCACCTCCGTTATCGGAGTCTTGGACAACTGTGGGGAAAGAAAGGTTTCAATGGGGATCAGATATGATAATGCAAATCGAATTATCTCAAATGTATGTCTTATAAATAATACTCTTTTGTTGCAACTAATAAGAAACGGAGGTATTAGAATGAAATTTTGTTTGGGTTTGTAAGGGGTTCTAACTCTTTGTCTTATCAATGTTATTATAGGACAACCATGCACATTGGATTTTGGGAAGCAATTAAATCAAAGCATTTTCAAGTCTAAAATCAAAATTTTGATTACGCCATTGCAATGGCTTAATAGTTTATAAGTCCGCTGTTGGTGATAGACCATAATTTACCTTGAGATGGTGAAGATGCATTGTCCAACGAAGGTGGCGATGAAGGGTGTGGCAGAGACGAACATTTATCATAAGTAGGCGTATAGAATTCATAATTCCCAAACCTCAGTATACAATTTGGCCTTAAAATGATGGACCATAACTTATCGGCACAACACGACGCTAGAAAATTGAGTGTAATCTCTATACACCTAGAGCAATCTTGCTTCGATAAATCTGGCGTGCATTGCACATAGGCGAAAACCTCGTACAGAGGATTCAATTTTGCAGACCCTTGACCATATTTCTTCAAATAATTCCCTGCCACAGCAGTGGCTTGTAAACTCCGAAGCAACGTCCCTAGCGTTTCCTGGAATCTATGATCGGATTCGAAAGAAGTATTAGCAATAACATAGATTCATATTACGTTACCCTGTTTAACAATAGTATAATGTTTACAATAATTTTAACATCTTCCAATGACGACCTTATGCAATACACAAAGTTGAGTATAAAAATTTACAATTCTACAAATGCGGAGTATAATTTTCTCAAAATATACCTTAAAAACTAAAGGGTACATAGTGCTCCCTCTTTTACTTTTTTTTTTTTTTTTTTTTTTTTTTTTTTTTTTGGCTTCATTCTTTTTACGGTCTCCAAGACACGTGCATCTTACAACGTACATAACTCTAGTTCTATATGCGTTAAAATTATACAGACTTGATATTATTAAAGTATAAAATGAGATGAATTCAATAAGACCTCACTTAGATTATAAATTAACGAGAATTTACAGTTAAATTTTTTAAAGTTTGACCTAATTATTTGTAATGAGGCAAAAAAATAGAGACAGAGGGAGTAATATCTACTCGTAATATTTTAGTTCCTTTTATTCACAACTAATAAGTGAATGATGTAAAAAGTCAAAACAATACACTTGGTATATATTTACGAAGAAAATTGCAAGCTGAAGGTAAATATACTCTTGTCTTATGACATTGTAGGTATTGTATTCGATAGACATAGCTCGAACCTGACAGGATCAGACGTATTGCCTACACTATTTAGCCCATCACCCGGCAACGGCTCCATGGTGCCGAAGATCGAACGTGGGGAGTATCGAAGCATGCAATCATTGTACCACCCAATTGCTTCAAAGTTGTTGGGACAATCTACCTGGATCCGCCTAGCGGCATTGACAAGGCAGGCCGTGCAATCGGATGACTTTAGGTCACCGCGACAAAGGGCAATGACATTGACCGTATCGTTGCTAGTGTCCCCTGCAGTAAGGTTGTGGAAGCCACAATTTTCTTGGCTGTTGGTGATTAGGGAAGTAAGAAGGGTTTTAAGGTTTGCGGCGTAAGCACTGGTTTCGTTGTAGGTGCCAAGAGTATCGTTACAAGAGAACCTAGCAAGATCAACACCCGCGTTTTGAGCCGAGGTTAGTGAAATTGATAACCAGAGGACTAGAAATGGTAATGAGCGTGAAATCATTGGAGAATGATAATGAAAAATTGGCATTTAGAGTAAAAAACCAAAAAAAGATTAAGGCAATGTTTGATTTTTTATTTTTTTTATTTTTATTTTTTTTGGGTTTGGATGCTTTGGAATATGGTGGACTGATGAATAAATGAATTAGCTATCTGAATTATGATAAAGTTTGGCGGGAATTTGTCAAGCAAGTTGACTTTTACTTTAAGTTGACTACAATTTGTGACTTTGTGAGATATGGAAGGCATGTTAGAGATAATCTCATACAATGTGTTGGATTAAGTAACATATCTTCAAAACTTTCAAAACTTTTTTTTTTTCCTTTCCTCCAATTAGTATTATTATTAATTATTCAATGAAATTTCCATTCTACTATCTCATCCGTTATTTTTTAATTGACATGTTTTGTCTTAAAACGCTATTCACAAATTATACTTTTAACTATCTTCTGTGATTTTTAGTTACGACAAAATATAGTCATGCAGGGTTTATTTGAATCTTATCAGTCTTGCTATATTTTATTAATATTCAATAACTTGAGATGATAGTAGTTAGACTTGTACATTAACAAATATGATAAAAGAAACGTGTCAACTAAAAAAATCTAAGAAAATACCAAAGAAATTGAGCCCGACAACTCCAATTGTCATACATACCCTATTTCTTTCCATATAATTACAAGTGGGTCTTGTTTGGTCGTTTACAAATTCTGTCCCGTGACAATCGGGTCAATCAAAAACAAATTGTTGTTTCTTGATTATAAAAAGTAGCAACTATCTAATTATAAAGCTTGGAAGAAATTTCTTGCTAGTAAATGTCATTAAAATAATACCTTTTTTTTTTCTTAAATACTAAATATTCTTAATTATGAAAATCCAAGTTGAAGCTAATGATGCATTAGTGAGTAAGCTTAAATGTTGGTTGAATTCCTTTATTTTATGACTATTGTTTGTGAGGACAAACAATACTTTGGCGAAGACCATGTGCACTCAATATAAAGATCATGACCTTCACGTATGTAATTGTGTTAAGTCTGTCAACTTTAAAGCTTGCTACATTTTGAATCAATAATGAGCAACTTGATCAAATTTTGCTAGCCTTGTTTGATAAATTGACTGGTGGCTATCGATAATTAATTGTTTAAGTGCATAAATCTTGGCTTGATATGCATTAAAGAATCACCGGATGATAGACCTACTATGGCAACCGCAGTCCTTATGTTACATAGTTACTTGGTTAATTACTCTTCCGGTAGATAACTGTAGGAAAAAAAAAAAAAGAATTTAGTGTGCCATACATAGTAGTTTCAAATAATTTGAAGCTGGTAAACAGCATATTATCCCTAATTTTTGTTAAATGTTGTACTGCAAGTCATGAATTAATTAATTAAAAACCCTAGCCTCCATTCTTGATTTTTGAAGGAGCTTTCATTGGTTTTTACCGATGGAAAGCCCCAACCTTTGTTTCTTTACACTTTTTTGTTTGTTCTTTTGGTTTATAATAATGATTTCTCCCTTAAAAGAAAGGATTTTCGATCTCTTTCGAAAGACAAGGTTTTTTCGATCTCCTTCGAAAGACAAGGTTTTTCGATCTCCTTCGAAAGACAGAGTTTTTCTCCTCTTTTTAAGGGGGAATTTTTCATTAGTTTAAAATCTGGGATAATAGATCTGATGGATTGCCGTGAAATTGTTTCGTTGGTGAAAAATTATGCGGGATAGGTTTTCAATTTTTCGAATACGGTCAGATGAATCCTATGGAAATCATCCTCACAACTAAAAGGATCGTTAGATTGTCTCTCCAACAAGGCTGTATTTACTATAAGTGGGAGATGTTCCACATTGCAAGATCTGCTTGACGATCGTAGTTTTTATGAAGGAAATTTTTATTTGATTCAAATTATGTGTTTGTTAAATTCGATTATCGTTGTAGATGTCGTATGACTTTTCATTAATCGAGTAATTTTACTATTAAAAAAAAAAGGCCGTGAATTTATTTGTCTAAAATGGTCATAATTTGAGCATAGATGATTAGATGGTACCATTTTCAATATTTATTTTAGGATTTTTTTTTTCTAGAAACTACTTAATAAATTTCAGAATATTTGCGAGAAACTATCTAATAATATAAAAATGTAGTAAAAAACTTCATAAGTAAAGGTAAAATGTTGTTTTTCAAAGCTTGTTTCCTTTTTCTCTTTACCTCGTAAACATATATAGGCATCATTAAGGCACACAATTAAGACCATTGTATGGTTCTTGTTGTCACATAGCATTGGGAAAACTACCATGAGAAGCTTCTCCATCGGATGTAGTGCTTGTTAGAGGCTCATCCTCATTGCTTTCCATCACATCAATATACCACTTAATACACATATATATACCTACCATTGAAGTAAACAAAATCAAAAAGTTTGCTCGCATTTGTTCTAGTTGAAAATAAAAGTTAGCGGTATTTACATTTTAATACGAATTTGTGCTTAGGTAAGCACGGTGTGGCTCATTCGGACCAAATCAAATCAAAATTTATTTAAAGAAAGGGGGCTAAACAACGTTGTCTTATTTTAGTGAACAATATTAGTTTTTATTCGGAATTGATGAATTGTCTGCATATATATTCTTTTTGCTTGAGAAGAAGAGAAAGATGAATGACGATCAATTGATATTTTATTCTAAATAAATATATTTTATTTATTTTTTCGTTTTCCCGTTTCTCATACTTTAAAAATTTTCGTTTCCCCAATTCCCGTTTTTTCATTTCCGTTTCTATTTTCCGTTTCCGTGTAACCTAGTACAAGACATTATGCACATACATAGTAATTCATTTAGATGACGACCAGCCTTTTTATTTCCCTGTTAAAGTGGGGTATCAAGGAAATCATAAAGTAATAGTGTTGAAAAAAATAGAGATTGGGAAAAAAAAAAAAAAAAATTCAATTCCAATACATTTATCAATTGCTAAAGATAAATCAGCTCATTTAATATTGGGATTTGGGACTAAAGATTCCTTACATATGGAGGCTGATGATTCTTCCCAAAATATGGTAAAAAATTCTTAAATAATATTTGTTGGGTAGGGCCCAAATTTTATAAGCCCATTATATATAGATGGAGTATAATCTAGAAGCTTCCTGAAAAATCAGGAGAAGATTGCACTTGATTTTTCTAGAGTCATCTACAATCTTAATATTCCCTAGAATATTCTAGAGAATAATTAAAAGTGGAAGCCACTAGAATAAGAGGCATAATTATGGGAAAATTTCCATAGGAATCTAGAAACCTCCATCATCACCTATAAATATTGGTCAAGGGCATTCAAACAATACAACAAGAACACAACACAAGAAGCCATACCAAACACAAGCCTTTCTACAAAATATTCTCCCTCCTTGTAATGTTCCACTACTATCGTAATACTCCTTTGTGAGTACTTCTTATAGTGAGAGTTCTCTTGTAATACTCACCCTCTCAAGGGTTCTTGTACTCTCCTACTTTTAAATAGTGGAATAAAAGTACTCGTTGTTACACAAAATCGTGTGTTCATTTATATTAATTATCTTGCTAATTATCAATTCAATTTACATTTCTCAATCAAACACATCTTCGCTTTCGCTGTGCACTCACCAACCCTAACAAGTGGTATCCGAGCCAAAGGTTGATTAGAGTGTTTACACATTAAAGATGTCTTTGGTCACGAAGTTCGAGATTGAGAAATTTGACGGCAAGATTAATTTCAGCATTTGGAAAGTCTAGATGAAAGGCGTTCTAGTACAGAGCGGATTAAAGAAGGCTTTGGATGGAAAAGCTAAAAAACCAGAGTCAATGACAGACGAGCAATGGCAAGAGTTGGACGAAAAAGCCCTCTCGGCAATCCAACTATGTTTAAACCAAGGAGGTACTGCGCGAGGTTGTCCATGAAGACACAACAGCTGACCTATGGCTGAAGTTAGAGTCACTATATATGACTAAAAGTCTCGCTAACAAGCTTCGACTTAAAGAAAGGCTTTATACAATTCGAATGGCCGAAGGTACTTCTATTCAAACTCATCTCGATGAATTTAATTCAATTTTAATTGATCTTGAAAATTTAGATGTTAAAATCGAAGATGAGGATAAGGCCGTGTTATTAATTGTCTCCCTACCACCTTTGTATAAACACTTCAAGGAAATTATGCTTTATGGCAATAGTGATACTCTTTCTTTTGACGATGTTAAATCTCACTTACTCTCAAAAGAAAAGTTTGACCTTGAAGTTCATTCTAATGAAAATGCCGAAGGTTTAAATATAAAAGGGAGATCACACGGTAGTAAAAGTACCAATAAGAAGTCCAAATTTAATGGGCACAAATCCGGAAAATCTTGCAAGTTTTGCAAGAAACTTGGGCACACGGTTGAAGAATGCTGGTTTGCAAATAAAAAGCTCGAAAAGAAAGAGCAAGAGGAAAAGCCAAAAGAGACGGCAGGACCCGGTTTTGGAGAAATAGAGTCCGATGATGAAGTTCTCTTAGCTACTTCACCAAGAAGAAATAAAAATTCTGACTGGGTACTTGATTCGGGTTCTGCCAACCATATTTGTTCTCAAAAGTCTCACTTTACCGACTATCAACCGGTGAAGAATAAAACTGTTACAATGGGTAATGATTATCATTGCAAAGTTCGTGGTGTTGGCTCCGTACGGATCAAGACGCAAGACGGTGTGATCAGGACTTTGTCTAATGTTCATCATGTTCCTGATCTGAAAAAGAATATCATCTCTCTTGGCATTCTGGACTCAAAAGGATATAAGATTTCGGCTCAAGGTGGAGCACTCAAAGTCTCCAAAGGTGCTCAAAAAATATTGAAGGCCAACAGACATAGAAATTTCTATGTATTACAAGGATCTACTATTATGGCTTCATCATACTCAATCCGGACTCGGCAACAATGCTCACATAATACGGGTCCAAGTAACATACGACGAGCGCACATATAAAATTTGGTCCAAGGTAGAGATTGTTGGGTATGGCCCAAATTTTAATCTAGAAGCTTCCTGAAAAATCAAGAGAAGATTGCACTTGATTTTTCTAGAGTTATCTACAATCTTAATATTCCCTAGAACATTCTAGAGAATAATTAAAAGTGGAAGCCACTAGAATAAGAGTCATAATTATGGGAAAATTTCCATAGGAATCTAGAAACCTCCATCATCACCTATAAATATTGGTCAAGGGCATTCAAACAATACAACAAGAACACAACACAAAAACACAACACAAGAAGCCATACCAAACACAAGCCTTTCTACAAAATATTCTCCCTCCTTGTAATATTCCACTACTATCGTAATACGCCTTTTTGAGTACTTCTTATAGTGAGAGTTCTCTTGTAATACTCACCCTCTCAAGGGTTCTTGTACTCTCCTACTTTTAAATAGTGGAATAAAAGTGCTCGTTGTTACACAAAATCGTGTGTTCATTTATATTAATTATCTTGCTAATTATCAATTCAATTTACATTTCTCAATCAAACACATCTTCGCTTCCGCTGTGCACTCACCAACCCTAACAATATTGAAATTATAAAAGCAAAGTAACCGCATACATAATCTTCTGAAGTAGACGAACAGCGTTTAATTCGCAGGCTTTGTACTAATAATGAAATGTGTCGTATCAATCTTTTTCTTAGAAAAAGAAATATGGCATTATTGTAACATTAACTTGATATTCATGCATGTTAACGAGGGTGAAGCTCCGTTATGGAAACCTCATTTGTTGAATTCCCAACAAAGTTGTTATTACTAGATTGGTTTGAAGTACTCCCCTGTGGTGGAGCATTGTCTAGCATGTTGCCGCGGTCGAAAAAGGCGGGCTTCGATGGCACTGGTAGGGAGATGGGATCACTTCTTAGCATAAGATCAACTAAAGGCATAGTTGGTCTATCTTTTGGGTTCTGTTGGACACACAGTAAGCCAACATGGATACATCTTAGAATCTCAGTGCCATGAGCGTTCGACAACACAGGATCCACAACATTCCAAGCTGTGCCTTCTATCCAATTTCTCCACACCTAGAAAATTAAAGGTTCCAAAATCAGCAATTAGAGAAATTCAGCACACATGCCTACTCAATCGAGCGGTCCATCATATAGGTAATGTTGTTGAAATATTGTGTTAGCAAACTTACAAATTCAAGAAGGGTTTCTAGATTATCTTCAGATCGAAATGAGCTAATTTTTTGCCCGCTTATGGTTTCCAACACTTGAACACCAAAACTATAGACATCCGACTTCATGGAAACTTGTCCTTGAAGCACGTATTCCGGAGCCATGTATCCACTGCACCAATGTTGGATCACAATTTATTAGATTTAGTTGTAAAATAACAATGACCTTTAACTATAGAGTTGCAATAAATTACGTACGGAATATATACTTACAAAGTACCAACAATTTTGCTAGCTACTGATTGAGTTTGGTCAATGTTGAATAGTCTTGCCATTCCGAAATCTGATATCTTAGGGTTAAATTCTTCATCTAAGAGAACATTTCCAGCTTTTAGGTCTCGATGAATGATTCGAAGTCTTGACTGTTCATGAAGGTAGATAAGTCCTCTTACAATGCCATTGATGATTTTAAAGCGTGTCTCCCATCGTATAAATGTATGCCTCTTAGATGAATCTGCATTTAAAAAAATTTCTTCAAGATATATTTAACATAGAATAGTTACACAGTACATTGAGTACTCCGTGTTGAACATATAGAGTAATCACAAACCAAATATAAATTTATCCAGGCTGTTGTTGGGCAAAAACTCGTAAATAAGAAGCATTTCATCCTCTTCCAAGCAGAATCCTAAAAGTGTCACTAAGTTTCGATGCTGGAGCTTAGCCAATATAAGAATTTCATTCTTGAATTGCTCATCGCCACCCCTTCCTAAATCCTTCGTAACAAGCCGCTTCACGGCTACTTCTTTGCCATCAGGCAGTTTTCCCTGAACAAATGAAAATTAAACACAATATGCATGTATTATATACACTTCTTCAATTAGGAGTATTAACAACTATTTATTATGAGTTATGTTGGGAAATTGTACATAGGCGAAGGTCCAACACCTTATAGACAATGCCAAATCCACCTCTTCCAAGCCAATTATCTTCTGAAAAATTGTTTGTTGCTACCTTGATGGATTCGAGATCAAATTGCAATGACTCGAGGGTAGCATCGTCATTTTCTGTAATGCTTAAAGAAAGGAATGGCATAAGTTGTTATACATATAACGAGCTAATTAAGTCAATCTACAGCATGTAGAACTTACCCGAACGTTGTTTCTTCTTTCTCATTTTATGAACGTAGAAAGCAATAATGGCACAAAGAAGAAGAACTATGAAGCTTACAGCAGGAATTCCAGCTCTAATAATGTAGTAAATAGCACCGTTACGACTCTTGTTTGCAGCAGCACTGGATCCTGGAGGAGTAAAGGAGTGTTAATAAGATAGACCCCAACTCTTAATAATTGCAATAACATGTACATCTGACTCTTCAAGGTAAATCATTATTGTTGTTAACTTTGAGTGATGTTTTTTATAGAGTATAAAACTTAAACCTGGGCCTCAACATGAGAGATCTTGTAAGATTTGTTTCTACACAAATTTTCAAACATCAATTATTTACAAATATAATTACGAAAATTTGTGAAAAAGGTCTTTTAAGTGGTCGACTTTATGAGAAAGGTCAATTGTATTAAAAAAGGTGCCAAAAAAGGTCCTTATATTTCATCTAGGTTCTAAGAAAGGACCTTTGACCGAATTCTGGCCATTGACTTTATTTTCCAGCCATTGACCATCACGTGACTTTAAAAAAAAACCCTTTTTTTTTCTTTTTTCCTTTTTCTCCCTTTTCCCTCCAATTCAAACTGATCCTAATTCTTTCCACCTTATTTCTCCTTCCCCTCTCCTCTAAATTGATGTGACTTGTAGTTGTCCATTAATGGCGGCGAAATTATTCAATTGTGCAATTTTTGAGAGCACATTGATGAGAACTAGCGAATTAGGAGACTTTCTTGATTAGGGGAAAAAGGAGAAAAAGACAAAAAAAATGAGCTTTTTTTTTTTCTCAAAAAAAAAAAAACACGTGATGGTGAATGGCCGGAAAATAAATTCAATCATAGGAATTCGGTCAAAGGTTCCTCCTTACAACAGACCTATTTTGCCACCCTTTTTATGTAAGGACCATTCAACAAAGTCGACTGCTTAAAAGAGCTATTCTAACAAATTTTCCATATAATTAATATATAATCATCATATTTTTAGAAGTAAAAGTTGTAACTTAACTTGTAGGCTACACTGTCAAATGTTGCATTTTATTGGGATAGTGGGAGTAGTAATTTTGACGGCCTTATGTGCATAATTAATCAATCATATATCAAAAGAAAAGAATAACTTAACTTGTAGGCTACAATGTCAAATGTTGCATTTTATTGGGATAGTGGGAGTAGTAATTTTGACGGCCTTATGTGCATAATTAATCAATCATATATCAAAAGAAAAGAATAACATCGAAGCTGAATTGAGTTGATTTAATTGATCCTTTAATTAATAAGTCTATATTCATTATTGACAATTAGTACCTGGTGGGAGTGGTGAAGAAGGCTGAGGTGGTGGCAACATTGCATAAAATGGTGTTGTATCATAAATCAGCATACAACTAGGCCGAAGTATCGCCAGCGTTTGGCTTCTACAACAATCATCCAGCATATCTCCATAAGCAAAATGCAAGCATCTTTCACACTGTAAACCAATTATATCAGGAGTACATTGCGCGAGACAGTATAATTTCCGACCACGAGAGAGATTAGCCTCTGTCGTAGCATAACCGTGATAAGAAGCTTGGTAAGATGCTTTCATTATAATGTTGTCCATGGTACTTGGAAGTACCTCCTCTATTTTAGCCGAGTCAGACGTGTTTTCGGTGCTTCTCCAACTCATCCAAGCGTCATGACTTTTCGGCTTGTTGTCAAAATAGCTGTTTGCATATCGCAGTGTACATTCCATGTAAAACATAAACGAGGTTTTTATTTTGGGACAGGATTGAGTAATATTCTTCGCTGCCAATTGCACACACTCATTGCAGAGATGAGTATTGATATCACTTCTACAAAAGAATAGACCATATACTTTGTCCGGGCTTTCACCACTACTGGTCTTGAAGTATTTAGTTTTGGTGGCATGGGCTACGAGATCTTTGAGGAGGGTGTTGAGATTGTTTTCGTATCGGCTATTTTGTGTGTAATTACCTGTGTCATGAATACATTTATGGGAAGCATGATTTAGCTCTGAGGCTGCAATAGGAGAAATCAGAAATAATAAGAAATGATGAAAAATTAGAGGAAGAGCTTTTGAAATGTAGTAAAGTGACGTTACCATTTTGGCTTATGTTTAGTCCTCTAATTAAATTTGGTCAGGAAATATAAATATGACATGGATATTTTGTTGACTTCTTATAGAAATAAGACATGGAAACCATAAATTGCAAGTTGGGCTCTGACTAGTTTATTTAGAAGTAATCAAACCTTTTGTTATGGTGTAATTTTTTTAATTAGTGTTTAACGTGATTATATCTATCTTATATTGTTGTATATTATTCTTGTACTATATTAATTAGAGTATATAGTTATATATGTGTAAGTTAACCCCCTCCCTCTATTATTATATAATGAAATACTAAATTTCCAAGGGAGAATTTTCCTTACAATTAGTACTTATTAAGAATTTACTATTTCTAGAACATGTTCATTATATCCTATCGTTTAGCCTAAACAATATATAAAAATATACTTAATGCCTTTCCACTTTCCTTTTCCGAGTTGGAAACATTAAACAATTACGGGATACTAGTCCAGAGGCCAACTAATAATCATTTTGTTCATCTTCGGAGGATCTTATCGTGGATAAGGGTCAGTAATCGAATCCTTGTTCACTGATGAACGCCCAATCGTTCTCTCCTTGGTATGATGATGTGACTTAGTGTCCACTCTAATAGCAATGGACGTGACGAACGCAGGACAGGAAGGCGCCGGAAGAGTAAGCGAATGGCTACTGAGCATCAACACTATAAAGGACATTGTTGGTCGGTCCTCTGCATTTTCTTGAACACATAATAAGCCCATGTGTATGCATCTTATAATATCCGTCTTTGATCTTATTGACAAAGTTGGATCCACAACTTTTAAAGGTGTACCTTCTCTCCAATTCCGCCATACCTACAAGACATTATGGTCAATTTTTGAATACATAATGTCTAAGTAATTTTAATTTACGGTTTTTTTTTTTACCATATATTCCTGAGTTTTTTGTTTATTCACCATATACCCATGAAATTTTTCAAATTCACCATATTTCCCTGAGTTGTTACAAAAATTCACCATATACCCCTAATGACAATAAGATGAGTGGAATTTGATTAATTATGCATCGAAGCAACCTTAGATCTTCCATTCCCAAAACCACTCCTCTCCTTTTGTACAATCCTTGAAACCACTCCAAATCTTCATAACATATCTGTATGATCGATTTTGAGGATGAGAAAAAGAAAATTGGGGTGGTTTTGGGGGTGGGAAAAATAAATGTGGGTGATTTCAAAGGTAGGAGAATGTATTTAGGTTGGTTTCGGGTTATAATTAACCCTAATGATTGATAAAGTTAACAATCATTACTCATCAAGGGTATATGGTGTATTTTTGTGAAAAGTCGAGGGTATACGATGAATTTATAAAAGTTCATGGGTATATGGTGAATAAACAAAAAACTCAGGGGTAAAAATCCGTTTAATTTAATCGTTATAATTGCTAACTAATTATTACTTTAAGTACTCTGTATATCACAATTGGGTTTTAATTTTAAGGACCATAATAGATAAGCAATCCACTAAGAAAACGTAGTCTACAAATGCAAATTAAATTAATCATAAACGAACAACCTTTTTACTTTCTAGGAAAACTTGAACACTTACAAAGTTTATTAGGTCCTCTGCATATTGCTCATTGGGAGAACCTCTATTCTTCCTACCAGTTATAATTTCGAGCACGAGTACACCAAAGCTGTAGACATCGGATTTTACAGAGAATAATCCATGAAGTGCATATTCCGGTGGCATATATGCGCTGCATATATAGAACAAAAAATTTTGTATTACATATTAGATGGTACTTTTCATATTAAAAGCTGAGACGGCCTGAAAGAAAACAGAACAAAAAAAAAAAAACAATATTACACTTACTAGGTACCAACAATTCTGATGGTATCTCCTTGAGTTTGGTCAACTTCAAATAACCTCGCCGTGCCAAAATCTGCAATTTTAGGATTCATTTCAGCATCAAGTAGTATGTTGCTGGCCTTAAGATCACGATGGATGATTCGCAATCGAGATTCTTCATGAAGGTAAAGGATTCCTCGAGCTATACTCACTATAATATTGTAGCGGCTTCTCCAGTCCAAATATGATCGCTTTCTTACATCTGCACACCTTGATGAATTTAGTGGGTGTAACTAACTCGATCCATTTATCTCGTATAGTCTGATAAGTAAACTCAGATGCTATAAACTGAATCTATAGTCGTAGTCATACCAAACAAGAAATGGTCAAGGCTCGTATTGGGAAGTAACTCATAGATGAGAAGTCTCTCTTTACGTTCGATACAGAATCCAAGGAGCCTAACGAGATTCTTGTGTTGAAGCTTAGCCACTAACAGCACCTCTGTCTTAAACTCCTCGTCACCTTGTCCTGAATCTTTTGCGAGTCTTTTCACCGCGACTTCTTGTCCATTTGCTAATCTCCCCTGATTTCAAATGACATGAAGGCACATTAGTCTAACAGTACTAGTTGATTAATAATAAATCAGTAAATCTCTGTTACTCACTGTGAGAAACGTTTTTGTTTCTTACAGTGGCGGTTTCGTAAATATATATGAAGTACCTTATATACAGTACCAAATCCACCTCGGCCAAGTTTATTATCATCCGAGAAGTTGTTTGTTGCTACTTTTATTGTACGAAAATCAAATTGTAGAGACACTAAACTTGTACTTTCATCACTGTCATCTCGACGATGGAAAACAGAAGCCGCTAAAATCAAAGGTGAAAAAGCAAAAGCTTAATCAAATGATTAGCATATGATATACATCCTAATCTCTGAAGTACAAAATAATTTTCTTATTAATTACCTCCAAATTTTATCCATGATTTTCGTCTTCTAAACAATAAATAGAATCCAATTGCAAGAACTATCAGTAGAATTGTTGATACTGTGACTAGGATGGCAATCTTCCCCGTGTAGCTCCCGTTTCCTACAAAATCAAGTCGGAAAATAGCATACTTCTTCTGGTAGTAATACTTAATTGCAACAATATGACTTTTGTACTCTGTATTATTTTGTATTTAAAATAAAACATATTCATGCCAGATTTTATTAGATTGAAATTATACTTTTTAGATATCAACTTTTTATCATTTTATATATCAAGAATAAAAGATATTAATGATTGTTAAAAGAAAAAAATTAATAATTAAAATTGTGCATTGAAAAGTTTATACTTCAGATAGAACATTATTCATGGGATTTTATTAGATTAAAATTATACTTATAAGATATCAACTTTTTATATATCTTATTCATCAAGATTAAAATGTAAATTAATGATTGAAATTGTGCATTGACATTTGACAAGTATGAAAATAAAAATGTTAAATTGAGAAACTCTTATTAGTATTGATAAAAACTACTTTGAATAAAGTGAAAAAATTGACTTACCACTAGGGTGGGTAAAATTAGCCGCGGGGGTTGGTGGTAGGGAAGGTGGTTGCAATGGTGGTGAGGGCAGTGTCGACAAATCAAAGAAAGGATAAAGATCGTATCGGATGTTGCAGCTAGGCTGCCATATTCCACCACCTGGACTCACCATTAATCTTGCAATACCATCCGTTATGCACGTATTACAGTCAGCAGGGCTCAAGTCGGGTGTACACTGCCCCAACCCATATATCGTCTGAAAAGCCGAAATATTGACATAATATGTGGCAAATTTCTTTTGTGACCCTCCAAGTGCAGCATTAACCCCGATTTTGTTGTTCATCATGTTCTTCACAAGCTCCATGAACCGGGTCTCATTGCCTATAATGTTCGCGGTCACATAATAAACTAGGTAGACTGAATCATCCATCGAACCAAAAAATGAGCTATTAGAGTACCTAACCATGCACTCATTGTACCAAAGTGTCGCTATTTTTCGGTTAGGACATAGGTTAGGAAGGTCCGTCATGGTGGACATAGTAACACATTTTTGGCACGAGCTAGCGTTTTGGTCTCCACGACATAAGAAGTGACCGTAAATAGCATCATCTTTGGCATTGTCGTCGCTAGGAACTACCGCTTGGTCGTAGCCGGCAGGGTTGTTGGTGGAATTGGAAGAGAGAAAATGGAAGAGGGTGTTTAGGTTGGTTGCAAATTGGCTATTGTTGGCGAACGTAGTATCGTTTGGGCAATAATAGTTTGGATAGCTAGTTGATTTGGAAATCATCGTTAACATAATTAGTACATAGAATGAGAATATTACTAATACTTGGCTAAATGTTTGAGCCATATTATGTTTTTTCCCTGATTTGTGACCATCAATCACATAGATTGAATATTGTACATATGAAACAATTTTTTTCTTGACGTAATATAATGGGTCAAACCTTTCTATGAATAAAGTATTCACAATTCGTACGAAAAGAGCTCATTTCTACAAACGCGTTGATTAATCAAATGTGTCGTAATCGATTTTGTGTTTTTCAATCCCATGCATTGTAAGGAACGAAATGTGAGGTCAACCTTACTAATAAAAGACTATTGTTAATTTGTTATGTAGTTGGAGATGTACTAAATAAATTAACCGAAAGTTTGAAATTATGTTGTGGATTAGGTAGACCGTAGACTTGGAAAAATTCACGTATCATTCACTCTCTTTTTTTTTTTTAGTGGGTTTTACCTAGTCAAAGTCTTGTTTACTTTATGGTAATTATTTTTACTCTCTCTGTCCTAGTTTACAGTTCTTGTTTGTGTTTTTTTACGATATTAAGAAATAAAAGGAGAAAGTGGATGGAATACTTAAAAAAAAAGTACAATTATAGACAAAAGTTAAAGAGAGAAAGTGGAAAAAAGTACTCCCTCCGTTCCCTTATTTACATGCCTACTTTCCTTTTGGAGGTTTTAAAATTACATGTCTAATTCTATTTAAAGAATTACTTTTTAACTATATTCCCTTTTTTTGTTGAGTTATCATATATATATATATATATATATATATATATATATATATATATATATATATATATATATATATATATATATATATATACACACACACACACATATATATATATATATATATATATGTATGTATGTATGTTGTTTGTACTTTTGACATCATTTTTCAACACTTTCTCTCTCAATCTCTTCAATAATTACCAACGACCTTTTCTTTCTCTATCTCTATCAAAACCCACATGCATATTTGTCCTTCCCAAATCATGGCTTTTAAATTTAATTCCCGTGTAACATGGGAAGTAGACATGTAAATAAGGGACGGAGGGAATACAAGACAAGTGGAAAATTTAAGGGTAATTGAGAAGTTCAATGAATAAAATTAAAAAATGAGGGTATAATGGTCTTTACATATTATCCTAAAATAAAATTGGAACAACATTTAGGGTCTCCAAAACTGAAAAATTTACAGGAATAAGAATATTCAAGTTCCACTTGTATTAAATTTTCAGAAGGGGCTGCCTCTCCTCTTTTCTCTTCCTCCTCAAAAACCCTAAAAAAAAATTCTTGTTTTTAGGGGCTACCACCAACCTTTTGGTTGATGCTAAGCCCCTAATCTCTTAGTTTCTTACTAGTATTTTACTTTATGCTCACAACAATTGTAGTCTCTCTATTTGAGAGTTTTTCTACCCGTATATCGGGTTATTTCTACCCGTATATCGAGTTAATTTTCTCTCTTTTTGAGAGTTTTGGGGCTATGTTCTTTAATATCGTAAGAAAAATTGATTTGTTGATGTGGAGTTGTGCTATGTCGCCATGGAGGTTAATTCTACATCTACAATCACTTGTACCGAATGGTGTTCGATTCCAAAACTACAATAGATCGAAAGACCCCCTCGTGAAAAGCTGCATCAAACAGCGGTGTGAAAGAGGGCATTTAAAAAGCAGCAGATAATATATTCAACTTAATTTCAATTTTGCTTTGTTTTTTTTCCTTTAGTTTATCTTTTAAATTCAACAATAAATGTATTTATACATAGTATTAAATTTTTTATAGTATCATTTTACAACAGCTAGTATAATTTCTTGTAAAGTTTAGGCCCTGTTCACTTCACCTTAAAAAAATAGTATTATGTAAAAATAATTTCAATCCAGTAAAAATAATTTCAGTTCAGTAAAAATAAGTTCAATTCAGTAAAAATAATTTCAGTTCAAGAAAAGTAAGTTCAAATTAGTAAAAATAATTTCAGTTAAGTAAAAATAAGTACAGTTCAGCAAAAATAATTTCAGTTCAATAAAAATAAGTTCAATTCAGTGAAATTCATTATCTTTGAAGAAGAAACATAATAGACAATCAGTAAAAATAATTTTAGTTTAGCAAAAATAATTTTATTTTAGTAAAGTTAATTTCAGTTCAGTAAAAATAATTCAAGTTCAGCAAAATTAATTTCAGTTCAGTAAAAATAATTTAAGTTCAGCAAAAATAATTTCAGTTCAGTAAAAATAATTTCAATTCAGCAAAAATAAGGTAAAGTGAACGGGGCCTTAGTCGAAGATTAACAATTGAGATCTTATTGAACATTGTCCTACGTCAAATACTAAAAGCCAACGAACAAACAATGATAACTATTGAGATCTTGTTGAACATTGTACTACGTCAAATTGACCATGGTTCAACGTAATATAAAATTATTTGGTAAAATAATCAATACTTGTAATCTCTTTGTAAAGTTTAGCATGGAAGCATAACTGACGTACCATTAGATTTGTTGGAATCACCGGCAGGCGACTGTCGTGGAGGCAGCGGCAATGACTGAGGTGGTAAGGGGCGACCGACGACAAATCAAAGAAAGGATTCGTGTCATACTGGACAACACAGCTATGCTGCAATATTTGAGCACCTTTAGTCATCCGAAACTGCCTAATACCAATTACCAAACACGTGTAACAATCAGTAGGGCTCAAGTCCGGTGTACACTGACCCAACCCATATATAGTTTGGAATATCGAAACATTTACAAAATCTGTCGCGAATTTCTTCAGTGATCCTCCACTGGGAGCTCGGTTAGCAATCACGTTGTTCATCATGTTACCCAGAAGTTCCTCGAACCGAGTAGAATTCCCCGATACATTAGCTGGATTGATCATCATCACCACGAGGTTCGAGTCCAATGTACCAAAAAATGACTGATTTGAGTATCTTACCATACACTCATCACGCCATATGAGTGCAATTTTTCGATTAGGACAGTTTTTAGGGAGGTCAATTGTCACGGCATTGGTAACACACGTTTGGCACCCGCTAGCGTTTAAATCCCCGCGACAAAGGAAGTGACCGTAAATAGCCTAGCTATTGGGGTTGCTTGAAACAGCTTGATGGTAGCCGTTTGGGTCGGTTGCATTGGATAAGAGATGACGGAAGAGGGTGTTGAGATTAGCTTCGTATTGGCTATTGTTAGCAAAGATTGTAGTTTTTGAGCCGCAATCGAAGTTTTGAGCACTTTGTTGATGTGGAAATCATCAATATGATGATTGGCATATAGATTGAAAAAAATATCGAGAACCAACTTAATTTTTGAGCCATTTTTTTGTACTAATTTTTTTAAGGTTGAGATTATAATAGCTAAAACAAAATAAGTAAATGTTTAGCTGACGTAATATAACGGGTCAAATCTTTCTATGAGCAAAGTCTTCACAATTCGTTGATTAATAAATTATTATGTCGTAACGGGCTTTGTGTTTTTTAATCCCTTGCATTATTTTCTATGGAAATGTGAGGTCATGAAAAATTTGGTTGGTGACATTCAAATAATTTTGGTTGTGTAAGTTTTGTAGTCAACCTTACTAATAAAAGACTATTGTTTATTTGAGTAGTTAATATCTTACGTAGTTGAAAATTAACTGAAAGTTGAAAATTATATAATTTTCTTATCATTTGCATGTCTTTAATAAAAAAAATCATACTAAAAAAATTAATTGAAAGTATTAGATTTTGGGAACATGTTTTTCCTATATATCAATCTAATAAGATGTCACATTATCATATTTTTCCTAACATATAGTATATACTCAAATCATTGAAAACGATCAAAGGAACATGTTTGATTAGACATTGCGATCGAAAGAGAGCTGATAAAGTATTATATTAACTTACCAACATTTTACGGAGTACCGAAAAATTTATTTAAAATTTTGGTCAAATTTTATGTGAAGTCAAACTTATATCTTATTTCATTGGTTTCTTAAATATGCACGCAATCTGTTCATATTATCTATCATGATAGTTTTAATTGATACCCATCAGTTTGTTGATAATTTCAATTAATTAACGATGATTTATAGGGACAAATAAAGAGATTATTAATCATCCTACCAAGAAAAAAAAAATAAAAATTGTCACATAGAAAGTTAAATATGGAGGCATAGACCAACGTACCACTTGATAGGCCGCTGAAACCACCCGTGGGCGATTGTCGTGGAGGTAGTGGCAACGGTTGGGGTGGTGGGGCGACTGATGACAAATCAAAGAAAGAATAAATCTCGTATTGGACAACACAGCTAGGCTGGAAATTGTGTGCACCTTGAGTCATCTTGAACTGCTGAATACCATTTAGCAAGCATGTGTTACAATCACTAGGGGCCAAGTCCGGTGTACACTGACCCAACCCATATATAGTTTGGGACATCGTTACATTTACAAAATCTGTCGCGAATTTCTTCAGTGATCCTCCAGTGGGGGCTCGGTTAGCAATCACGTTGTTCATCATGTTATCCCGAAGCTCCTCGAACCGGGTTGAATTCCCCGTTACATTAAGCGTATTCAACAACATCCGCATTGGGCTCGTGTCCATTTTACCAAAAAATGACTGGTTTGAATACCTTATCATACACTCATCACGCCATACAATCGCTTCTTTTCGATTAGGACAATTCATAGGAAGGTCAGTGGCCGTGACATTGTCAACACAAGTTTGGCACGCGCTAGCGTTTAAATCCCCGCGACAAAGGAAGTGGCCATAAATAGCCTCGCTATTGGGGTTTCCATTGCTAGAAACCGCTTGGTGGTAGCCGTTTGGGTCGGTTGCATTCGATAAGAGATAACGGAAGAGGGTGTTGAGATTGGCTTCATATTGGCTATTATTTACAAAGATTGTAGTGTTTGAGCCGCAGTCATAGTTTTGAGCACTTGTTGATTTGCAAAGTATCACTATAATAATTGGCATATAGATTGAGAAAAATAAAGAAGACCAACTTATTTTTTGAGCCATTTTTTTTTGTACTATTTTTTTTTCTGGGTTGAGATTAAAATAGCTAAAACAAAATAATTAAATGTTTAGTTGACGTAATATAGCGGGTCAAATATTTCTATGACTATGAGCAAAGTCTTCACAATTCGGTGATTAATCAATTATTATGTCGTAAAGGACTTTGTAATTTTTAAACCCTTGCATTATTTTCCATGGAAATGCGAGGTCAGGAAAAATTTGGATGGTGACATTCACATAATTTTGGTTGTGTAAATTTTGTAGTCAACCTTACTAATAAAAGACTATTATTTATTTGAGTAGTTAATATCTTACGTAGTTGAAGAGGTACTAAAAAAATTAACCGAAAGTTGAAAATATATAGTTTTCTTATCATTTGCATGTCCTTAATAAAAAAATCATACTAAAAAAATTAATTGAAAATGTATGATTTCGGGAAAACTGCTCAAATTCAAAATATCATAAAATTCAAAATGAAGAGGGTAAATAGTGATAAGTTTGAAACCGTTTTATTAGGGAGCAGATTAATGTAAACTAAAATGATTTAGGTAAACAAAAATGACTAAATTATGCGGTTAAACAAGTTTTCAGTAACTGAAGATCACATTAGAAAGGTACCCAATATTAGTTGGGTTGTTGAGTTTACTAGTTATTAAAAATTTCCAAGTAAGTATTTAAATTCATACACAAACCCTTAGTCAAGAGTTAAGACAACGCTTTTTAATGGTCTTCATAACTGTTGGTACTCCACTCGTATGATACATATGACGCGTTGGGAATTTCCTATCACCTTATATTAGTCCTAATAATATGACTTTTCCATTTTCAGGAAGCTTCTCTCTTCCATTTAAAACTAGTGGGTGCCAAACTTACCCTATAACTATATTTCCTCCATTTTTGTTTGTTGACCTTGTTTCACTTTTGCATTGTTCACACTTACCTTTGACCTTATTTTAATTTATATGTAACGAAAAATAAAGTCATGTAAGGTTTTGTTAATTGAATCATATTTCAGTAAATTCTTTCATACTGTTTATTCATCATAACTTTTACTTATTAGGAATTAAAGACATTAATGATTAGATTTATGCATTGATCAGTGTGATAAATGAAACATGTGAAGTAAAAAAGAACGGAGGTTATAGTAGATCTACACGTACCCAGGTCAATGCATGCATGTGTGCTTCAAATTTCAAAACATGTATAATAACTCACTATGTATTAACATGGAAGAAAATAAAATTGTTTAAGGCTACATATATAAAACAAATAAAAAGATTTTTAGATAGACACCAAAATCAGTTTCTCACGGGTTACATACGTGCACATCTTAAGAGCCAAAAATTGCTCTCCGAACAAGAGAGACATCAAACAATTGCGTGCGAGCCTAACAATCAATCTATTTATTGCATCTTTAATATCTTATCGTGGATTGAGAGAAGTGATCGAGTCCTCATTTTCTGACAAACACCCTAGAATTCTCTCCTTAGAATACTCAGAGGTAGTAACACTGACTAATGGAGGATGAGAAGGAACTGAAAGAGATAAAGATCGGCTACTGAGCATCAACACGACAGAAGACATAGTTGGTCGATCCTCGACACTTTCTTGAACACATAACAAGCCAATGTGTATACATCTTATCATATCAGTTCTTGATGCTGTTGATAATGTTGGATCTATGATAGATATCGCCGTATTTTCTCTCCAATTTCTCCATACCTGTATAACATTATTTATGTACGTAACTAATATTAGTTGCGTTACATTACATTTTTAGTATATATGGAGCATTATTTAATGTCGAAAGTTGCCTTAAAAAATGAATATTTATAAGGAGTATACATCAAAGAAAATAAAGGAATGTTTGAACACTTACAAAGCTTAATAGATCTTCGGTGTATTCCTCATTATGAAAACCAGAGTTCTTTCGACCTGTAATGATTTCTAGAACTAGTATGCCGAAACTGTAGACATCTGACTTTACAGAGAAGAATCCATAAAATGCGTATTCTGGAGCCATATATCCACTGTATTGCATAGAGGACGTTAAGTATATTAGGCTTTAATTTGATATGTACAAAAAAAATTTGCTCATTTTTATGACATTAAAGGGAAGAAAGAGCAAAATATCTAGCAATTTTATATGCAATTTCATGTTTATTTAGTAATTAGTAGTTGATGATGTACTTACTAGGTACCGACGATTCTATTGGTATCCCCTTGGGTTTGATCAACACCAAACAATCTTGCCATGCCAAAATCGGCAATCTTGGGATTCATATCAGCGTCCAGAAGTATGTTGCTTGCTTTAAGGTCACGATGGATGATTCGTAGTCTAGAATCTTCATGAAGGTAAAGGAGTCCTCGAGCTATGCCTGTTATAATCTTGTACCGCTTTTCCACATCTAAATATACTCTCTTGTTTACATCTGCACACAAGGGTGCATTTTAATTCATTATCATATATTACTTACTACATCAATATATTATTTAGTTAAATCCTATGATATATATTTATGTACATAAATATATACGAGTATTATCTAGTCTAATCCTATCATGTATAAAATCCCTTGCTTACATGTCTGCACACAAGCTTTATAAGGAAATCAAACCATACCAAACAAGAAGTGATCGAGACTAGTGTTGAGAACAAACTCATAAATGAGTATTCTTTCTTCTTCTTCTAAGCAAAATCCGAGGAGCCTAACAAGATTCCTGTGTTGAAGCTTAGCCACTAACAAAACTTCAGTCTTAAACTCACTGTCACCTTGTCCAGAATCCCTTGAGAGTCTCTTTACCGCGATTTCTTGTCCATTTGATAATTTTCCCTGGTTTTAGCAGGCATATTCATATAACTCTGTAACCTATTCTTTTCACAATAAAGTAGTCAAATACTAGTATTTTTAGTATGTACCTTGTAAACGATACCGAATCCACCTCGACCAAGTTTGTTAGCGTCTGAGAAGTTGTCTGTTGCCAATCTAATGGTGTCGAGACCAAATTCCAAAGACACTAAAATTCTACTTTCATCATTTTTTTCTTGAGGAAGAGAATAGGAAGCGACTGATTAAGACGAAAGGTTAAGAAAATCTGAGGGTTAGTATGTAATACAATAGGCCAGATATCATCATTTCCCAATTCAATAATAGATTAAAAACAGACAAGAAATTATTTTGCTTACTTGAGCTTTCAAACTTTTTCTTTGTCTTTCTTCTTCTACACAAGAAAATGAATCCAATTGCAAGAGCAATGACTACAACTGTTGGAACTACGATTAGGATGGCAATTAATGCCGTATTATTGCTTCCATTACCTGACATTGATGAAGTTGGAAAGTAGATGAAGCACAAGTAATAGTAGTAGTATTGGTTGTTTTACATGTTTACTCAATCTAATACTCCCTTTACTCCAAAATAAATGCTCATTTGCCAAAATGATACTTTAACTAATAATGTATTTAATTATCAATAAGTATAATTGATAAAAAAACCAGATATTTCGAAACTATACATTGTGACTTATATTTATGATAAGAACATGGTAAAGCATGTGTGATTTTGTTTGATAGTCTACATAAGTACATATTTATATTTTCATTATATCACTAAAGTTGCTTGATGGACTTTGTTGGAGATTAAGTAATCTATCACTCTAAAGTCTATCCTCTAAAGTCTATCCTATCTTAAGCAAGTATTTGTTACTTTATCTATATCACTTAAGGGGATAATATCTATATTTTAGGAAAGTAAATAAGATGATATTTATCCCGTTGAGAGTTGGTTACATTTCTACTTTGTTTCCCAAATTTATGTTTTATATATTGTTGTCTATGTTTTGCGCATATCAAACACATGACCTAAATCAATTGGTATTCGTCTATTTCCTAACACAAATAAATCTAATAAGATTTCATATGATTATATTTTTTTTCTTTAAGGGTATGTAAGGGGAAATGTAATTATGGTTGAGTGTATGAATAATGTTCACCATTGACATCATGTTGCAAATTAAATTTAAAAAAAAAAAAACATAATAATAAAAAAAAAACACAGAGGAAGTAGTTTTTATGGGTATAATACTTTGACTTAGTTCAACTGTTCAATAATGTTAAACAGAGTAGGTTACAAAAATACAAAATATTCCAATCCAATTCAAAATTCGAACTTTTGATGTTCAAAGGTATAAAATTCTACCAACAAACATATACTTGTATATAATTAGTCAAAGTTTTGATCCTTAAATTAATTGTCAAAATTTTAATCCATTGAATAAATTCAAAGTTTTGATGTTTGAAAAAGTCTTCCTAATCCAATTCATGCATAGCGCAATCTTTAAAGAACGTTATAAGTATATCTTTATTGTATAAGTCAAGGGATAAGATAGCGGTATCCACTTTAAAAATTTAAAATAATACCCTCAATTTTAATTACTCTTTCAAAATGTTTGGTGTATAAAATTTTGAGCACCTATCGTGTGCATATAGATCTAGTACTTACCTGATGGAGGAGTAGACGATGGAGGAGATGATGGACTACGCATGTCATCATTGTAAAACAAATAATCCTCGTATCTTAACTTGCAACTCGGTCCAAGAATCTGTGCTCCTGTGTTGTTAGTTGAGCCACTAGGTATCATTTTACTAATAAAATCTCCAATACAATTAAAGCAGTTTCGTTGCGACAAATCTGGAGAACATTGAGCAAGCGCATAAATGCTCCCAAAGCTGCCGTAAGTATCATTTCCAGTTGCAAACTTAAGTTGAGAATCACCCTTAGAAGCATCATTTCGAAGCTTATTCAATAATGTTCCTAGCACTTGATTAAACTGGTTGACGTTATTAGTCACCTTATGCGTACTCATTAACGTTAATGAAGGTTGTTCTTCAAGGCTTCCCAATATTGTCCGATTTGCATAACGTATCATACAATCGTCGTACCACCCAATGGCTTCCTTTTGTGTTGGGCAGAGCCGTGGAAGCATAGTAATTGAGTTGTTGAGACATCTATGGCAATCTTGGAACGCTACATCACCTCCACATAGCGCGATCCCATTAACTTGGTCAGGTTCCTCGCCGATTGAGAAATTATAGAAGCGGGAGTTGAATCGAGTGTTGGATGACAGTGGCGGAGCCAGGATTTATAATTCGGGGGGACAAATTTTGGAGGTTAAAGTTTCGGCAAAAATCTCAAGAAAAAAATTGATAACCTAAATTGTTTAATATTTATTTGAAATCACATATGCCAATTATTTCTATATGGAAAAAGAGGGGTAAAAAAGTTTTATTGTATATTAAGAAAATTATCCAACAAAAATGAATAAATTTATATTTGTAAATCCTGTTATGTAATCACATAATTGATAAATAAAAAGTCAAATAATTATCGTTAAAACAAATTGATGGTAGATATGAAGGGCCAGGGTTTGAGTTACATTCGAAAAAATAAACTCAACTTTTTCAAATCAATCATATTATTAATATGTATTTCGTTAAAACACAGTTACAAACAATTAATTAATAGTAATCTATTTATTAGAAATGTAAAAAAAAAATTGAGTTTAAGCACACTTAGTTAAAGCGATAATTAAAAACAAGAAGTAGGAAATAAGAAATAACATTAAAAATCCTAAAACAAGAAATAGGAAATAAAAAATCAAATTAAAAAGGTTGTTGAAAATTAGAGTATGTAATAAAAAAAACAAGAAGTAGGGGAAAAAAAAAACAAAAAAGCTGAAAAACAGTAGAGTAGGGAATCGAACCTAGGACCAAAACACAGCCTTACTAAGGACTCAACCACCAAACCATATTCAATATTGTGATATCTACTGTAAGTATATGTTATTTATAGCCTTTTACTGTATTTTCTTGATTTTTTTTTTTTTCTAAAAAAACTTTTTTTCCGAAAATGGGGGGACAACTGTCCCCCTTGTTCTAATGTGGCTCCGCCACTGTTGGATGATATCGAAGAGAAGAAGATGTTGAGATTGGCCTCGTATCTGCTGGTGCTTGTGTAATTGCCATAGGTGTCTATGCAATAATGCGCAGTGAAATTTTGCTGGCTAATTACGATGGAAATAAAATGAAGTTGAATAAGAATATGAATATAATGAACAACTTTAGATATTCTCATTTCTTAGTCTTTTATTTTATATATCACCTTACAAACTTTAGAGTTAATGAAAATATATATGCATATTCCATGTAGTTAGAAAGTTTCACATGTATTAAATTAGGTGTAGACGCTGGCGTGTTTTGAATCAATCTAGAAGATATATATTGAACTTTGAAAAGTAAAATAATGCTACAAGTATGTACTACGTATTAAAGTGTAAAAGTCAAAAGCTAGAGAGAGATAAACAGAGTGTGTTGACTTGTAATTGCCTTGGCATGGGTCATGGTACGTCTACCGCCTTTTATATACAACCCAGGTGCATATTAAAGTAGGTGTACCTACGGCTAGTTTGTTTGTTTGTTTTTTTTTTTTTTTTTTTTTTTTTTTGGCTCATTTATTTAAATCTCATATTATGACCTCTTCAACTTCACTAATTTTCTCTTTTTACGTATTAAAGTAATTTTCCACTTAAGGAATAAACTTTACCAAAATCAGTTGATTGTTTTCAAGCTTGCTTCTTTTTTATTTTTTATTTTTTATTTTTTATTTTTTTTTTTGTCATTATTGTTTCCAATTTGGTGTTTTTCAATTTTAATTTTTACCATCTCCCATCTTCAATAAAATTTTTTGACCAGGAACTAGGATTCAAGAACTTGAAATTATTAGAGCAATTCAATCAGGTAAACACTAAGTATCTAATTGTACTTACTACTTAGAGATAGCAACACTATAAACTAGATATCAATTGAGGCATATATATTGCTCTCAATTTACGTCCTACAATTAGAAAATGCAATTTCGAAGTGCTATGAAAATCATTAAACCTTTTGTGTTTTGTTTGATAGATGGTTATAAATGTTGGAAATGGGAAAGAATTTTAAGTGTAAATTAGGAAGAAAATTAACATTGCAATTTTAACCTCAACCATCTATTTCTTCATATTTTTTCATTATCATCCATTACCAATTGAAAACATAGATCAATTTTTAAAGCACTGATCAATTTTTAGAGGGCCCAATTTTTCATTACACGATCAAGAATTGCTTCAGTGATTGTTGACCGGTTCACCTTATAGTTGATCTTGATTGTACAAGTGGTTACAAAATATTGGACTGGGAATTTTACTCAATCGTCCTAATCTAAACTTTTATCCAACAAGAGAGATTAAACAACTTCGATCTTGACAAATAATCTGTTTAACGTGGATGGAGATCAGTAATCGAATCCTCATTTGTAGACGAACTCAGTAATTGTCTTTCCTTATGATTATCAGAGTTAGTGTCCATAGTCGCATTAACACTGATGAATGAAGGATGAGAAGGCACCGGCAAAGAGAGCGAGCTGCTACTAAGCATCAACACGACAGAAGACATGGTTGGGCGGTCATCGACACTTTCTTGAACACATAACAAGCCCATGTGTATGCATCTAATTATATCAGTTTTAGACGCCGTTGATAATATTGGATCAATGACAGATATTGCTGTACCTTCTCTCCAATTTCTCCATACCTGAGTGACCACATGATGTACGCGACATATTAGTTGTAGGACATTATTATAGAGTGTGCAACATAGGTATTTACCATCAAAGTGAGTAATTTATAAAGACGTTGTCTAAGATGATATAAGAAATGCTTCAACACTTACAAAGCTTAATAGGTCCTCTGTGTATTCCCCTTTTTGAAAACCAGAATTCTTTCGACCTGTAATAACTTCTAGGACTAGTACGCCAAAGCTGTAGACATCTGATTTTACAGAGAAGAATCCATGGAATACATATTCTGGTGCCATATATCCACTGCATAAAGTAGGTTAATTACGACATTAGGCTTTCATGGTTTGCTTGTTCATATGACCCAGTTTCTCATAGTGAAAAACAAAATTTGTTTCTCACATGATATTTTTGTATATAAAGTGTTGAGTCCCTTAGGTTTTGATTGATAGTTTTGAATGATGACAAACAGCTAAGGGAAACAGGTCCTTGAAAGTGTTCGATACAGTTGGGGGAACCAGCTAACATAGAACACTGTTTCCCCAGACAAGTTATTACTTACATGAGTTTTCTTATTGAACTAACTTGTCTTTATACAGGGAACAGTTATATGATAAAAGTGTTATGTACTGGTAGGGAACCAGTATGTACTGTTTCCATGGTTGCTACGTGGTAAAGCAGTCACATACTCTTTATTGTGCATTAACCATGTTACATGTGCAGTAGTTGAGTTGATTCCAAGACTTGGAGCATAGAAGCCTTTCGAAGATATTTCGAAGAAAGATTGTTTGCTCATAATAGAAGTATTCAAGGAAGATTCAAGTCTTGAAGATTACATGAAGAAAAGACGATTTATGCTTTAATATGTTATCTAGGTTTTCATGTAATATGCTCCGTAGTATGCTTGCATGTTTGGGTTATATAAGTGCTTAAAAGTATATTGAAGTATGATATGAAATCTGGTACAAAGTTGGAACAGGTTTCATAACATGTTTCAATTCAGGGAACCAGGTCGGGGAACCAGGTTCACTGTATTCGAGCTGCCGTTTTGGAAAAAGATTTTACAAAAAGATTTTTTCGAAAAGATTATCTTGAAAATATTTTGTGCAGCTGGAAATAAGATGAAATATTCTTGGTTACCTAAAATCTAGGAGTATTTATCTTAATTGATTCTATCTTTGTGATTAAATCAAATAAGATAAAAACTTTCCTAAAATTACATTATATCTTATTCTCTAAGATTGTGTGATTTAAGGAAACTAGGTTTTAGGAATCTAAGCTTATATAAACTCATCTTATTTCACATATTTCGTGTGCCTCTCCAGAAATTAAAAGAGCAATTATTTGAGAGCATATACTTAAGCACTAATCCCATTCATCAAGTCATATACAAGAGCATTCTAGTACTTAAACTTTTTCTCTTAATTAGCTTCGTAGAAGTGAGATCAAAGGGGAGTTCTTGATTTTTGTATTGAGTCTTTAACAAAGGGGTTAAAGGCTGGGTGAGTGTTTGTGAGTTCAAACACATTGGGCTTACGAGTGTAAGTCGAGAGCACACTCGGAGTAGAGTGTGGGGTTTGCTGGTTCCCGGAGTAGGGAACAGCAGAGTGTTCTTTGTCTTTGTTTTTCGGAGTAGATTAATAAAGAACTTAGGATAGGAGGACGTAGGCCTGAGTTGGCTGAACCTCGTTAAATTTGTTGTGTTCTTTATTGCTTTGTTTTATTTCGTTAAATTTGTTGTCTTCTTTATTGCTTATTTATATTCCGCTGCGTACGGGAACCAGCACAACTGGTTCCTCACACATAATCCGAAAAGAAGCAAAATTAGCCAACGATTACTTAACACTCAATTCACCCCCCCCCCCTCTTGAGTGCCCATTGAACCTTCAATTGGTATCAGAGCCTAAGCTTCTCGAAAGAGTAACATCTAGAGGAGTTAAGAATGAGTACTCAAGAATTAAGTGCAATCGGTTATGACAACAAGTCACCCAAGTTTAATGGAAATAATTATGCTTGGTGGAAGAACAGGATCCAGAATGTTATCATGGGTATTGATTATGAATGCTGGCTCGTAGTTAAAAATGGTCCTAATATCATTCTCAAGACAGATGTGGAGGGGAACCAGGTTCCCAAGAAAGATAGCGAATTGGTCACTGCTGATTACAAGTTGCTGGAGAAGAATGCTAAGGCAATGTCAATACTACAACAAGCAATAGGTGAGACCGAAACAAATCGTATTTCTGGCTGTAGTAGTGCTAAAGAAATATGGGATACTCTTGAACTTGCGTTTGAGGGAACCAGTGAGGTAAAACGGTCTAAAATTGATTTAATCATGTCTAAATACGAATTGTTTGCCATGAATAAAAATGAAAAAATCAATGATTGCTTTCGTAGGTTTATGACTATTGTAAATGATCTTAGATCTCTTGGTAAAAATTTATCTGACGAGGATCTTGTGAGAAAATTATTGCGTAGTTTAACAGATGCATGGACAGCCAAGGTAACAGCAGTATACGAAGCAAAGGATCTGTCTACCTTGTCTCTGGAACAGCTGATTGGTTCCCTTATGACTCATGAGATGCTGATTGACTCTAAGTCTGAGAAGGAACCAGCAAGAGGCATGGCGCTTAAGGGAACAGTAGAAGATGATGAAGATGAAATTAGCATGATTGCAAAAAGATTTGAGAGATCTCTTCGAGATCAAAGAAAGAATTTCAAAGGTAAGCATTTTAAAAACTATAAAAAATCTAACTCTAATTCTTCTTCTACAGGATGTTTCAAGTGTGGAGAAAAAGGACATCTTATTCGAGATTGTCCTAAGTGGAATGACAAACAGTCTAAATCCGGAGATAAACAAGCATACAAGAATGCCATGATAGCTTCCATGTGGGGAGACTCTGACTCAGGGTCAGATGAAGAAGAAGGATCACCCAACTCAGATGTTTGCCTAACTGCCTTTACAAACATCAAGGAAAACAGCACTGGTCCAGGAACCAGAGGGGGAACCAGTACATTCAACAAATGCTTTATGGCAAAGAAGGATGTACTACATGAACGCAAGGTAAGCTTAGAGCAAATTAGAGAAGATATGCATGAATATGATAGAGAAAATATGCTTGCTTGTATTGATTCCTTACTAGATGAATGCTATAAACTAAGTGAAACATACATAACTTGCAAAAGAGAATTAAAAGAAAAACGTGGTGAATGTAATATTGCTATTGCTAGTTGTGATCATCTAGAAGGAGTCTGTTATGAACTAAAAAATCAAGTAGCAGAACTAGAGGTTGAATTGGACAAGTGTAAAGTGGAACTAGAAAAGGAAAGATCGTTTGAACCAATTGATGGTGAAGAGGATCTGACCTCCTGGTTCCCTAGAGACTTATCAACCACTAGTGATACTCTTGATTTTTCAGTAGCTATAAGTAAAGCAAATTCGTGTACTAGAACTTCCTTGTTGAAGGCCTTTGAAACATTGGCTTACAACCTGGAAAACTCTCACAAGGAAATTGCTTCACTTAAAGCTGCACAGTTCACTGTTTCCCCTACAGGTACCAGTGTAGATGTCAGTAATACGATTGATAAGTATGAAAGTAATATTTGTGATTTGCATGCGGAAATCAATCAACTGAAAAAGGACAAGCAACCAGTGGTTGTTGACATGTCTATTGACTCTATGGTTTCAAAGCTTAATCTACAATTCGAAGCTTTAAAAAGTAACTTTGATTTTCTTAAAGAGAAAAACGAATTGTTAACTAAAACACTTGAAACCAGAGAAAAAGAACTTAATGATAGTCATAGACATGTGGACAAATTATTGAATGCTCAAGAATCCTTAAATTACCTGACTTCATCAAGAGGAAACAGAGGAAAAGTTGGTCTTGGTTATACTAGACAGAGAACCAGGACTAACTGGTCTCCCAGAGAAACCACCTGGATCAAAGAATATCAACGAGGCAAGTATGTCATGACTAAAGAGATGCATGTGTGTTTTCATTGTGGTAAAAATGGACATAAGATACATGAATGTCCAGCTAAAAAAATTAGTGCTAATAAGAACAGCAAGGGTGTAAAATATGTGTGGAGAAGAAAGGATCAACAAGATGTTAATGTTGTTGAAAAGGGACCCAAGTATGTTTGGGTTCCTAAAACTAATGTTTGATTTGCTCTTGCAGGCTAGAGTGAAGGGAGACACCTATTGGTATTTGGACAGTGGTTGCTCAAGACACATGTCCGGGGATAAAGATCAATTCCTTTCACTAGTGGCCTTTGATGGAGGAAGTGTCACCTTTGGGGATAACAGCAAGGGAACCATCACTGGTTTAGGTAAAGTTGGTAAGACACTTTCTAACGCAATAGATGATGTTTATTATGTTGAAGGCTTGCAACATAATCTCTTGAGTATTTCTCAATTATGTGACAAAGGTAATATAGTTGAGTTTCAAGCCAACCTATGTTACATAGTTAACTCACAAACAGGAGAACTTGTATGTGAGGGAACCAGGAAGCATGATGTTTACATCACCTTCTTAGATAAAATCCCTCAAGACAAGTCCATCTGTTTGAGAGCTGTTTCTGACAATAATCAATGGATTTGGCATAAGAGGTTTGGACATGCTAGCCTAACACTTCTAAACAAACTTAAAACACGTGACTTAGTTGTAGGCCTTCCTAACATTAAGTATGAAGCTGATAAAGTTTGTTCTGAATGTGTAAGGGGGAAACAGGTCAAAATTTCTTTTAAGTCTAAAACTGTTTTGAGTACCAGCAGACCCTTCGAACTTGTACACATTGATTTGTGTGGTCCCATGAGAGTACAAAGTCGAAGAGGTCATAGATATGTCTGTGTTATGGTTGATGATTATTCTAGGTACACTTGGGTAATGATGTTACACACAAAGGATGAAACGTTTGAAGAATGGGTAACATTGGTGAAACAAGTGGAGAACCAGCTCACCCACAAGCTGGTCTCGGTAAGATCAGACCATGGTACTGAATTTGATAATGCTAACTTTATTGATTATTGTAGGGAACATGGAGTTAATCACAACTTCTCAGCCCCTAGAACACCTCAACAAAATGGTGTTGTAGAAAGGAAGAATAGAACTCTTGAGGAGATGGCGAGGACGATGCTCATTGAGAGTGGTCTCCCAAAGAGTTTTTGGGGAGAAGCTGTTGACACTGCTTGCTATATATTGAATAGAGGTCTCATTAGACCAAAGTTAAATAAGACTCCCTATGAACTGCTTAAAGGTCGAAAGCCCAACATTACATATTTTCGCATTTTTGGATGTAAATGTTATGTG